GTTAAGAACTTGCCAGGGTTATTCAATACAGTGGACGGACCACTATTCGGGGCAAACGTATACTCTGATTGGTCCATTCTGTAGCAAAAAAAAAATCTACGATTGCACGAACCCATTTTTTTTAAATATGCCGCGAGTGGGTCTACCCGCCGTGCTGCTGCTAGGCGCGTGCGTACGCGCCTTCCTGTACGTTGTGCCGTCCATCCACGTGACTTTATCAACCCGCCCCGAGCTGTCCACGTCTATCTCGTCATTTCACCGCCTACAGGAGGGAGTATTTCTCTTCCAAACTACCGGTTCGCCCTACTCTGGGGACGTTTATCATCAACCCCCGCTGCTCTTCGCTCTGCTGTATCCAGTGCTGCAGGTGGCCCCAGCGTCTCTCCAATATTTTATCATATGCACCGTATTCATTCTCGTGGATCTACTACTTGCCATGGGCTTCGCTCGGCTCTGTAAGAGGAATTTGAAGCTGGAAGAGGGACGTCGCTTCACGTTTCAGGATAAGGAGGTTTGGCTTACCTTAGTGCCCGTTTCGCCGCTGTTTAAACCGAAAAATCTGCCAACGACAGTGGCTTTTATTGCACTGATGAACCCGTATTCACTGGCATCAAGTGTAGCCATGTCATCAGTGGGCTTTACACACTTGGCAGTGCTCTACAGCTTGGTCTTCGCCTCAGAAGGTGACAATATTTACATGTATTGTATCATTTACCAGTAAAATGATTTTAATTTTGTATTACTATGCTGTGTTTTTTAGGAGCTCTTGCTGCGTCAATGATGTGTGTGGCGGTGGGCACGTATCTATCTGTGTACCCATTCTTCCTGATGATACCCATTGTGCTGCTACTACGCTCAGTCAAAGACTCGTCTTTGGTGTCGCTAGTAGTAAAATGCCTTATAGTAGTTATCGCCTGGCTGGGTTTGCTATTCTACTTGTCGTGGAGTTTGACTGGAGGTTGGGGATTTTTGGAGGTACGGCTCCGTTGAGTTTGAGAGAGGAGCATTTTTTTTTCTAATTTGTTTTTTTTTATCGTACCATGCAGGAAACTTACGTGTGGGTGGCGAAATACTCGGATTTGACCCCGAACATTGGCATCTTCTGGTACTTCTTCATGGAAGTTTTCGACCGCTTTATCCCATATTTCCTCTTCGTGCTGCACTTGCACCCAGTCATCTACATCGTCCCGATCTACCTGCGCTTGGCGTACGTTTCTCTATTTTCCAGTGCTTTTCTTATTAGTTTTACTAACTTTTTTGTGACAAAAAATGGAATATAGACACCGGCCTCAAGCCTACGCTTGTGCGTTGATCGGCATCTTTTCTCTATTCCAGGCGTATCCCTCCTTTGGAGACTTTGGATTCTTCCTTTCAATGCTGGCGATGCACCCGAAGACGATAATGAGTACGTCATTACTTAAATACTCGTGCTGTTCACGGCTTGCTGACGTGAAATTTGTGTACAGCGATCGAAAACCGGTTTGTCTACGTGCTCGGCTTGGGTGTGGCCACGTGCATGCTGCCCGTGATGTGGTTCTTGTGGTTGTTCCCGGCCTCTGGCAACGCGAACTTCTTCTACAACCAGACGTTGGTGTACCAGATCTTCAATACTCAGATCATTACAGCGTTCGTAGGAGCCACCATGAAACGCGACAAGGATGTGGACAAGTACCGGGCCAGTCGCTTGAAACAACTGGAGAAAACCAGCGAATAAAAACTTCGAACTCTAGGTCACTATTTGTGTTGAACAGCCATTGTTTTGGAAGGGAACGGTAATGGAGGTGTGGACAACTTCCAGTCATTCGCAGCGTCAAAACGTTGAATGCTTCCCGCTGGCGACTTCGGAAATTCTCGTACATACTTTACGTTTCGCAGGCTTTTTGTTGCTTGATGATGCTGTGGAACGATACAAGTAAGTACTAGCACGCACAATTATTAATGTACAATAAGATACTAACTTCGTGGAGTGAAAAGAGATTTTCTGCTCCGTCGATGGACAACGGTGTCTTGTGGGACAGTCGATTTGGATACGCTGGAGTTCGGATCCGTAAGTTCTGTAGATGTTTCTCACCGTTGTGCTGTTAAATACATCATGGTTAGAAATATAACGCCCACTAATTAAAAGCGATCAACTTACGACATGTTTGGGTAGTACAGGGCTCCCAGCACTCGTCATCTTGGCCGTTCCAGAGGATTGGATCCTTGAAGTTTTCTGTAGAGCCGAGTCACTCTGCGATGCCTTAATAACGGTTGGATCACTGGTTAACGCAGTGAGAAGCTTGGCACTGGGCAAGTTTTCTAGAATAGCCGTCTTCTTCCCTGCTTTTTGTGGTATTGCATTTCTGTTGTGAGAAGACTGAGCTACTGGAGGATCGGGAAGCTTGAGCGCGACTCCCTTGGCAAGAGGTACTCCTTGAAAGTCAAATGAAAGACTCGACGACGACTCAAACGATCCGATCTGATCTCCAAACTCGGTGGTGTTAGTGACTGTATGTTTCAGTGGAGACGGCGAGCGCAGTGGCCGCGGAGGCGACCGCAATTTTTTAGTGGTAATTGGCGAGTTTTCCTCGGCTGGTTTGGACGTTCCAACAAGTTTGATACGCGGTTGAATCACTCCTCGAGTATGTAGATCGAGCAGAAGTTCCTGACGCAATTTGTGTTCAACAACGAAGCAATTCTCGGAGATCAGAAGCTCACCACCTTTGCCATACAGTACGACGTCTGAGGTGAGTCCTTCGTAGTCTTCCGTTCGGAACGTCATGTTCTCATTGGTATCCAGCGTCGTGAGATTCAGTCCACGTTTACCGTTTAATGGTGACAACGTGGCTGGGTTTTTACCTCGAGTACCTTGTCGACTCTGCTGAAGACGAGAGCGTTGTCCTCGTTCTCCTAGTGCCGCTATCATCGCCTCCTCCTTTTCGAGAGAAACTGTTGGATCAGCCAGAGAGCGAAGTTTTATTCGAACTTCATTCTTGCGATTAATCTCGTCATTTGATCTTCGTACAGAGTCCCGAGTACTCAAGTCGCGTTCGATGTCGGTTCTTCGCTGCAATTCAGCAAAATCTACCGCTCCTCTCGCGGTGCTGGTTACTGAAGACGACGAAAGCCACGGAGAATTATTGTTCGATGCTTGGCTCTCTAAATTCATGAATTCTCCACCATTAAAACCCAGCGCCAACGACATCTTATGACCTTTACGAACTGACGTCGACACTCTTGACCCTCCGAATCGTGACCCAAAGCGGGATTCTGTACGCGACGACGCTCGAGATGCCGCGTAGTTCCCGTATGCGGACGTCTTCTCTGTTGCAAAACTTTGTTTACGTTTTTTTATTTGCTTTCGGATGAGTTTCGACGCATGTCGATCATTTCCCGGAGCGACGGGCACAACATCGTGCTGGAATGATAAATCTCCGTCTTGGAGTACATGCTGGTCACTCATAAGTATCGGCAAGAGCATTTGATCCGCTAATCCTTTCACGGAATACGCAAACTGTTAAAGAAAAAAATAGCATTTGTCAAAATTTAATCACACAAGAATGATCAAGATACAACTCGTACGATGCGATCAGCTTCGTTTGTATCGACTGGGTCATGTACATGCACTGCCTCGTTAAATGTCATGTGAAGAGCAAGCACGATAGCTGCATCTCGTGGAACCTGAACAAGAAAACACGAGCCCAAAAAATATGAATTAAGCGACCTGAAAGCAGTTAACAGTAAAATACCCACCGCACGTCTCGCCCACCGTCTATCGGGTTGCTTAGCCTGAGCGGGCTCATCAATCGGCGCAATTGGGACAGGTTGGATGTGTTTGGCCATACTCCGCAGGGCCACTCGAACGTAGTAGCCTCCTTCCATTCACAAAACAATGCTATTCCAAGGCCACGAATTAGCTCAAAAATAGGTGCTAAAGTGCCAGTGATAGCAAAAAAAAATACGAAGTGGTGTTCCTCTCTTATCGCACGAACGTACATCCACGCATCCTGTCTAGTTACTTCCCCGCCATCACAGTCTGTAGCAGTAGATTGATCCGGTAGCGCACACTAAGTGGCACTATCCTCTACTGTTCGTGTCTGACCGGCGTCGGCCGCTTGGCCCCACCGCTGCGTGTTCCCTGCTTCACGTCGCTCACTGCTGCTCCTGAGCACGTCGCGCGTTCCTGATAATATCCAGCAGACCACCGACGTTCTTCTTGTACAGCTGTAGCTTGACGTCGATCTCCTTCCACTGCTCGGCACCAAAGCGGCGCTGGAGCGAGCGCGAGATGGTCACAGTGCGGGCCAGCTGGTCGATCTTGGCGCTCACGACGCCGGCCGTGATGGCCCGCACGACCCACTTCTCCACGTCCTGTCCGGCCACGTCCAGAGCGGCGGCCACGTCAGCGTACGAGATCGCCTGGAAGCCTGTGGGCAGCGTGCACAGCGTGAACAGCCGCATGGTGTCGGCCAGCTCGGCCTCGACCAGGCCGTTGTCCTTAAAGACTGCCGTTGCGTTCTTCTGGAAGGCCACGAACTCCTTCAGTGTCTTGGTAGACACAATGTCCAGCAGCTCCAGCGTCTTGTCGCCCTTGAGCGAGGCCTGGACCACCGAGTTGGCCGCCAAGTCTACGCGGGCCAGGAAGCTGGCCACGGGGTTCTGCAGCACGATCTGGACGGCCCGCTTTGCTTGTTCCTTGGCCACCTGTCCCTGCTCGTATGTAGCCAAGTACTGCTCCAATACGGCCAGCACCTTGAGCTTGTCGTTGGCCTCGTCCAGCACGTCGGCCACGGCCAATAGAAGCGCGCGACGGTCCTCCACGCTGAGGGTGTGCGTGGCCAGCAGTGTATCCACTTGCGTCAAGTAGGGGGCCACCAGATCCACGTTGTTGGAGCTTCGGGCCAGGTCCAGAACGCTCAGCAGCGCCTGGAGCTGCACCTTGGGCAGCGTCTTGGCTTTATTGAAGAGCGCGGCGGCCACGCGTAGACGCAGCACAGCGCTGGCCTTACTGTCGTTCTTAATAACCTGCAGGATCTTAAGCGCTTCGTCCTGTGCGTTAGGAATCTGCACGACCACGTCGAACAGCAGGACGAAAGCGCCCTCCACGTCTGTCTCGGCCTCTAGCGCCAGCAGTTGCGATAGTTTGGGGTGAACGGCCGCCACGACGGGAGCCAAGTCATTCTTCTTGATGTTTGCCGTCAGATCGGGCAGGGCCGAGCCCGGCAGCAGCTTGGAGACGTACGCGACGAGGTCCGAGGCCATGGTGAGAGACTTGGGGGATTGATGGAGCTACGATAGCAGAGCCAACAGTTTGAAGTTTAGTGGTAGCAGTGAAAGGTGGCGAGATGACATGAAAAATTTAGCACAAGCTCCGCCACCATCTGTACAAATGGTGACATCAATTTTTAAGATCGACCCGCTTTCTGACAATTATTAAACAAAACAATAAAACATGTTTTTATTGTTTATTAGATAAAATGTAAAACACAATATTATAGGGATATAAAAAAAAAAACAATTTAAATTAAAATAAAAACATTTACTTAAATGTTTCATGTACATGTGCATGTGCATACAAAAATTGTTTTTATAGTAAATTATACTGTTAAATAATGTTTTTAGATAAAATCACCAAATTCAATGGACTCCGTTCCGATTGCAAATTTTCCTCGTTTGTGTTCACTTCGTAAGTTGAAAGAGTGCCGTTTGTTACTCCCCGGTTACTTGCCACTGTAACTAGCATCGACCTCAAAGTTCCAAGAAAAGCTGAGAAGCTTGAACGTGTCATACTTGCCCTGTATAGGCATTGGGTACTTATTCAGCGCTTCCAGTAGATGTTGGAGTAAAATAGCAACCAGCACCCGCCACGTGATTGTCAAGTACATTGCCGGATACTGTGAGTTTAGTATGTTTCGAAAAGTATTCTTGCAAAGCACCTTCCACTGTTGAGTTCTCGACGATGATTAGGGGTGCAGTAATAAAACTGCCCCGGTAGAAAACGTTATGCTGGTGCCATGTATTTTGATTTATTTTGTAGAGACATCTCTGACCTCTCAACAAGTTGTGAGTGATTTGTCGGTCGCTATTTTCAATTAAAAAGCTGTTAGAGTAGCCCTGGCAAGTTGCTACTTTTCTCTAAGCGTATGATTAACTTTAAGGTGCACGCCAGCAATGTTTCTGGGCTATATAGTATACTGTAGTATGACTGGCATTCTACGGAAAGTATTCATCGGGCTATATATTAATGGCTTATAATGGTCTAGGCGGTTACCAGAGTTTGTCCCGTGGACATTCCAGTAAAATATAAGTACATCACGAGGGTTTTCTTTTAATTAGTAGGTATCTAGCTTGTGCCATGTCAACGTAATATTATACATTACAGAGCAGCAGTGTTTTATTTATTTATTTATTTATTTTACAAATTACTTGTCAACGAAGATCGCTAAAATTTCGCCACTCCGTCATCCATCGATTGGGGCAACCGGTAGAAGATTGACCAATAGTACAATGTAGTCCAGCAGATCATTATATCCCATCGCACCGAATCGAAAGTTCGAGTGCAGCGCGCTATAATAATCCTCATGCCATGAGGGGGCGACACATTCACTGGCTGTACTGCAATGAGTACGAGTCTTACTGCGAGACATCTGACGCGTCGGCATGGTTTCTTTGGCAGTGACGAGCACTGCGTCGTAGCAGTGGATTCAGTGAAGATAGCGAAACTTTGATGCGAGGATGCACGAACGACTTTGTCTGGTCGCGCAGCGTGGTAGACAAGGCGCGAGTCGAAATATTTCGAATGAAATTTTCTAGATAACGGATGGACGGTGAGCACTGCTTGACTCTGAATGTCAATGTCACATTCAGTGCTTGCTCCTCTGGCAATATTTTCCGGTCGCGGCAAACACACATCGAGAGTCTCGATCCGAGGCAATCAGTGCAAGCTGCAATGTGGCGATGGCGTGGAGTTACTCTTGACATTGCCATCAGTGATGGCCCGTCACAGATATATATACATATATAATTATCTCTGTGGCCTTTTTTTCTTTTTTTCCATCTACTGCAACTACTGCAACTTGGAAGGTCTGGAGAGCTGGATTGTCAATAATGGTTGTCTTCCAATCAACAAGGTTACATTCGCTGGTTACCACTGGAATATGCCTCCGCGCCAGAACATGGTTCTTTTGCTGGTCGGCACTACGATGACGAGACGATGTGCGACATCTTTACCTCGTCATTGCTCGAGGCAAGAAATCTCGCACTGATCTGTTATGTAGCAGCAAGATGCCCGCGGCAACTAATTGAGCACTACTTATACTACAAAAAGCATTTGATTCTTCGGTGTGCGCTAGTCATAGTTGGCAAAACAATGTGGAAGGCTAGTACGTATCGATGTGTGAGGTGGCTTTTAGCAATAAAATGTTATGCTAAACAATCATTTTCAAACTGTTCGTGTAGCTCGAGGATCGCTACGTCGCTTGTCGCGCTGCTCAGAACCTTGTCCTTGCTGGGTAACATGCGCCAGTCAACATAAAGTATGCTGCTGCAATGAAGCCACACAGCAATTGTCGATAGAGCGGCGGACGCTGCGACAATCTTTCTCAAGCATATTCCCCGTGTCCACACGTTTATAGAGTTCGCGTACATGTATGTGTGTATCCTGCAAGAGCGTGTGGCCAAGTTTTCCTGTGTTCGCAGGCCATATTGCTGCATTGACCTCTTCCTTACGCGCAATTGATATTTCGTAGCTAATACCACTGCTGTCAGTTTGTTAAACCCTTGTAAACCTGTTGAAGTTGCCGAATGGCACATTAATAATTTCAGAGTTTGGAGATGGGGCTTCTGGAATGGCGCTTCTGTATTAGTAGGTTTACTAGGTTTCGCTAAGCAACTTTGTCAACTACCGTTGGGCCCGGAATCTGTTCCGAAGCCACGACCTGGTCGAAGTAATTTCCTCCTGGTGGACCAGACCACGAAGGAAATTTGTGCATCGAGCCATTCGCTCCGACTCGAGTCATAGTGGTACCATGCTAATGCTTGGTGCTGTGTTTGCGAGTATGTACGTAGCTAAAACGCCACTTCTGCGAGCAAATTTACCGAGTTTTTTTTTAGGATCAACCGGCTCACACGAGGTGGCTACGAAAAGTGTGGTTTCGGCTCTTGGCAGATCGCTTTCTCGAACGCACGTGTTCATCAGGTTTTCATGGCGCCCTTTTCAAATCCACCGTTTCTGCGCAGTTAACAGGTCCGCACCGAATCGCTCTTGCATTTTCATGTGGTCGTACTGCTCCTTGAAGTACGAATGTATCAAGTCAAAACGCGAGATTGTGTTGACGATTCTCCATTGTGCATAGATGTGACAGCATTATTAGTGCTACCAGCACCCACTCCGACGCTGTTATACACTTAATAAGAACTGATGTATGTCGGCTGCAACACCGCGTTGTGATGGTTGATTTCGGACGAGTTCCGGATAGGTATCCACTGCTATGGCAAAGATGTCCGCAAAGAAACACAGATCAAGCTCATGGTGGTCATAATATCGAGTTACAGTTGAGATCTTTTTCGCTTTGGTATCCCCAGGGCGTAGTGTATATACAATGAAAACAAGAACGCGATTTTTGTTGAGAAATATTCACATATAATTTAATATGTTACTTTATTGACTATTGAACGCACTACTATCTCTGCTCTATTGGGTGCTAGACTGTGTCTAGCTGACGTTCAGCTTAGCTTGAACCTCCAAGTGGCCACCTTGAGATGCGTGAGGCACCCACAGGAGAAGTGAACCACCTCCTGTACCTGGCAAACCCAGGAATCCTGGACGCCAACGATCGAAGTAGAGTGTCTTGCCTGCTAAAGCCGTGACGTTGGACACCCACTTTGCTGTGCTCCCAGCCTTAACCTCTACTTCGTCGATCTTGTCACCTCCAGACATGATGTTGACCGTCACGTCCTTCGTGTCTACACTCTTGAAATCAATGATCACTGCACCGTCACCTTTCTTGGTCCAGGACATTGTGCTGTTGCTGAAAGCCTTCTGAATCGTGGTAAGACCTAGTGTCTTAGGGTCTGTGCCGTCGTCGATCTCACCGATGAAATTCGTCGGACCACACACCGTCTGGAGGTACGCAGCGACCAAACCCATGACACCAATGAGGTCAAAACCGGTAACGGCGATCGAAATGAGAGTCTTACTGAACGCCGTGTACATGAACTGGTTCGCATCCTCACTCGAGCCATTGTTACTCTTGCCTTTAGACACAAGCTGGTTGATCATGCCGCTGAACGCTGTGCGAATCTTCTCACGCGTCTTGTAGGCCGTAGCCTCGTCGGACTCCGAAATCAGCTGCTCCATGCAGTTGTTGGTGACGATTGCGATGTCAGACGTCACAAGCTGGGTGTTCTGTACCTTGAGACGCAGGTCGTCTTCCGAGATGCCTGGGTTGTCTGCTCGCAGCTGGTTCACGGTGTTCCACGTGCGGTCCGTCAACGCTCGAAGGTCGTAGCCACACGTGGAGTTGGACTTGAGAGCATCACTGAGTGTTCCAATCTCCGTCTCGTTGATCTTGTTGGCGGCTTCTGTGAAGTTGGCACCGACCAAGAACGCCTTGAACTTGCCCCAGCTCGAGATGATGTCTTCCTTGTAGGCGATCGCATTCAACAGAATCCAGTTCATCGTCGTGAGCACACGACCAGAGATATCGAGCGGTCTCGGCAGTTCCCAACCCATGCACAGGTATACCGCAATGGGCAGATCCGTCACGATATTATTCGACTGGTACATAATGTTCAAAATTTTGTCTGTAGAGGCCTGCGGGTCGGCGGTCTTGATGTTACGCACATAACGGATAATGGATCTCATGGTACCGATCATCATGTTAACGCAGTCGAACGCCCGATGCACGTTCTTAGTAACCTGCCACAGCTTCTGGAAGGCACCGAAAGAAGCGATAGCCAGAGCAGAGTTAGCCACAGCACCGACCTTGTTAAGCGTTTCCATCAAACAGTCGTCGTTCTGGCGAATGCATTGCATGCCACACTCGACAGGGTACGCAATCGGACACTCGGCCCAGCACGTGTTAGTGGCCTCGTTGCGATCGAAGTTAGTAGGGCACGTATCCATGATATGTGCTTCACGGTAGCAGGCTGCGTCGGGCGAGATGGCCCGAGGTCCCACCCAGTTGCGGTATGTCGACTTGATATCGTTGGTGGCTTCCGTCACCTTGGCAAGCTCAGCATTGACCTTGATCGAGGAAGCATCGATAAATGATCCGGATCCGGAAGCGACCATATCATCGAGTGAAGAGGAACCAGAAGTGGCAGGAGTGTTTGCCGTCGGAAGGTTAGACGATCCGGACGCAGTCGGAGAGGTAGTCGTTGGGGTCGTCGTGGTCGGCGTAGGTGTCGAAGGGGCTGGTGTAGTTTTGGTAGCACTCTTGGCTGGAGCTGGAGTGGCATCGTCGTCGTCATTCCAGAATGTCCAGTCGAAGGCTGACACGCTAATTAGACTGACGACTAGAACCAAAAGGGCGAGAGTTAACCTCGGCCGGGTCATACTTATGAAAGTCGTGTGAAACGAAGACTGCAAAAAGAATAATGAGGAGACCCCATGGTCCGGTGCTGGCGATTTGGAAGGCGACTCGGGTTGCTTGGGCTCTGATCACCCTGATGGTGAGTCAAATCGTGGTGGTTTTTGACGAGAGTGGCGGGTCGTGGCAAAGTGGTCGCGCTTCTCGTTTTCTTCAAGCCGGCGCATCGATTGGTTCCTGTTACTAGTACCTGCCACCTGCCGGATACACAGTAGGACCGGCTGCGATGCAACGCTAGGTCTGCTTGGCGAGAGTAGACGAACAACGAAAAGCGTCCCGGCCCACGAACCTTTGATATGTGCTAGTTCAGTGACTATTTGACTGTTTAACATGATAATTATAGGAATTATCTGTTTTGCTTTTAGTGAGTTCACTATACGATTTGTACTTCCTATTGCGATATGATATTATAATTCAGAATATAGAATTGTGAAGGTTATTGCATGGCTGTTGTTGAAGATGACAAGGAGAGGACACTGCATGAACGGTGGCCAGCTTATGGAGCCATATCAACTTGAAGTCTGGCGTGAATTCTGAAGCATTTGACAGCAGCAGGGCAACTTGATCTCGCTAGATGTGAAAAGTCTATCCTTACCAAGTCCAGGTTTAAACGTTGTTTCGAATCCTCATAAGCATAAAAAAGAACTTGCGTATATATCAGCAAAAATATGCTGCTAAACTCATCGATAGTACAAAATACCCGAGGTTTACGATTTTGAATGACCCATACTATCCACTAAGTTTGGAAAGTCGAAGCGAAGAGCAACAGATGATGTAGCATAGGAGTAGGCTTGTTCTGCAGCATACGTCGATGAATTGAGTGAATCAAGTCGTCGCTAAGATGACCATAGTAACGAAACAAACATCTGACTTCCCACCGCTGAAGCATCCTGTTTTGCAAGAAGCAAATGTGCTACGTCGCAATAAGCAATGCTACGCATTCACCAGCTACTTTGTCTCCGTAGCATCGATTCTTTGAAGCGAAATCACGAGGCTATCGTTTGGGATTTCCCTTGTCGTCGGGACTTTTCCAATAACCTCATGCATTCCAGTCGTGACCATTCACAAATCAACATGGTTTCAAAGGAACCGAATTGGTGATGCTGAATCGGTGCCATCCTGAGATTGGAGGGTTCGATGCTCCATCTCGATGTTGCTTCGAATTCAAACAACATTTATAGGATTCAATAAGTCCTGGACATTTTACACTGTACTGCTCCTCGCGAATGAAAAAAACTTAAAGCAAACAGGCGTCCTGTGAATATTTCAGTCATACAGTTCACATCAATAGCCAGCGAAGTGCTCGACCAATGTCGGCATAGCGAAAACAGCGCAATTTTGGTAGTCTGGCCTCTTGCGTGCCTGGATAATTTGGAGGATCCTGGACAAATTTCAAATGCTGCGACTAAGACACCAGCTGGCATTTGAGTTTCAAAAAAGCATATGGTGCCCGGATTTGCTTTTTTCGATTGCGCTGGTCCAAACCGTTGTTGAAGTAGTCCGCCATGCAAGTGTAATGCAATCCATGAATCCGGCAAGACACAGTGAGGTCTCCGTGACACCGTTTTTATCGAAATGCTCGTCACATACCGCCCCAAAAATACAACCACATCCTTTTTTCTCTTCTCTGGTACCTCGATGAACCACGACGCAACAGTCTCTCCATTGTTGACACACTGCGCTGTGGCGTTGTTGGCATTCTCGGCGTACACTTGCACACTTCGTCTAAGCGACCGGTGCGCGACTGCCCTTCTATCTTCGCAAATTTCAGCTGAGCTATGATCAAGACAGTGCGGCAAAAAAAGCTTCTGCAGCGAGATCGATGGATGAAATTATCTGCACCAGCACGACATCGCGACTGGTGGGATCATCTCATGTCAAGCTTTACTGGTCAGGCTGGTGCGAAGCCGCGTTTCCCCCCATCGCCGTTGAAGGGGCGATAGACATTGTGCATCCACCGGTGACGTCGTTGAGCGTCAAGGGCAAGGTTTGCCAAACCAGTTCAATCACACATCGAGAGATGCGGCGGTAGTCGCTAACATCACAAACTAGCATGCGAACGATACGATCCACCTTGGTGCAGAGCTACATGCAGACCGCAGCGAAGTTAGGCGCAAATTCCGTAGAATGCCTGGCCTGTCCTTCGTCGATTTTATTTTTTTTAACTTTGTGCATCCCATCCGTTCCTAGAAACTTCACTTCACAGCTAGCGAAATAGAGAAATAAGAAGAAAATTTCATAATTCGAAATATACGTAAGAAAATATTACTACATGCACTAATAATACACGTGTGCACGTGTAAATTGGTGGGTCAGCGCCTGTGCTTTTTAAACTAAAGTCAAAGTGAACCCATTGCAGCTATAGTATATATTAAAAAAAAAAAACACACACACGCACATTTCCATTAATTTATATACGCCGAAATTTAAAATATGCCGAATACATGTACTGACCAATCTTTCCCTTTTTCGGACCTGATTCTGGTTGGCCGGTGCTTCAGTGCTGCGCTTTGGGTGCAGTACCTATCAAGATGGTGATTAGATGCGGGAAACCAAACGTGGCAGGTTCATCCGATCCTGGCAATTCTGCGGGATCGATCACAACGGCAATGTTGATGCGCCACACACATCTCAACAAAGCGGCGAAACCACGAGGTTCAGATTTTCGGTGGAAGGAGGTTACGTGCCTGTACTGTACAATAGTAGCAACAATGGGGGGGGGATAAAATAAATTGCATCTACTATATTAGTTTTTTTGATAAAAAATTATTTTACAGCAACCTGTTTTCAGTGTATTGGAGCGCTGGGCGGTTGGGACTTGAGGTGCATCGCGGTCAGTCAACCAGTAATCCTCACGTTCAACGAAACAATATAGTCGCGCTCCGTACTATTTTGAAGTAACCAATTGTGTCGATTCAATATTATCCATAATATTGGACAATTCATGTATGTAGTACTAATACAAGTAGTAGTTTTACTACTACTTGCGTCCAAATTTGACTATTAAGATCGATTCACTGTCACCATTAGCAACGACTGCTCTCCCTTCACCGGTTTACCGATATGTATATTTCTTCGCTCGGAGTCCTGGAGCTGCCGTTGTTGACGTTTGATTCAAACCGTTCAAACTTTGTTCGGTTCTGGCGGCGGTCATCTGGTTGCCGAAATTTTCCCAGCGATGGCAGGGCATTGTTCTGAAGCAACGCATCATCATTTATTCAATGAGTACATCCAACAAATACTTAAAACTTAAAAGTAGGCAGCAGCCTGATCGGAGGCACACCGAACTGACGAACGAAATATCGCGGAGGGAACAACTTCGATGTGTCCTATACCATTTGATGCAAAACCTATGAGCGCATTCAATATTTTGGAAAGCGAGTTGAGTGATCGCATCGTAATGTTGTCGAGCTCACATGCCAAAATTTTCCACAGCAGAAAAGAATCAGTGTTGACGCCATCGGCGAATTCTTGGGGTCTTCGTTCCGTATCTCGAATTTATGGCTCAAAAGCGGAGATCATGCTTTCCGCGCGACGCATCTGCAAGGCTTGCTACATGTAGTACGGGTACACGTCCCTGTGCTGCCATAACTGACACGGCGCCGTTGTTATTGACCCTGCATGTCCACACAAGGTTGCAGTCTACCAAGTGCGAATAGCCCCTCTTTTCCTTATGTACCTACGGACAACCCCAGCGTAGTCGGTCCGCAACAGCGCTCCACCATAAGTCGGTAACTGCAGTAGACGCGAACCCCCTGTCGAACTTTATGTGTGAGAGCATTGCTTACTTTTTAAAAAATGTATTATCAACTAATTCCAGCAAGTTGACCGTTATGTTGCAGTCCTTCGGATTCTGTCGCGAACCTCGTTAGCCGTTGGCTTGGCGACTCGCCATCGTCTAACGCGACAAGCTAGAGATCTTCTGAGAAGGATTAAATACCCTCACCTGGGCCGAGTACGGTCGATCAATGCCTTCACAATGTCAATCAAAACCCGCAAGTTGAGATGGACTTCAAAAGGTAGCGAATTCCTTACCATTGCTTTCGTTATCAGCCTCTACGCAGTTAGTGTCATCGGTGAATTCTTTAATATAACCAAATCAACACCTTATTGTTGCCTAAATTATTTACGTCGACCTTGCCCACCACTCATTGGACGCACCATCCTGGGTGTGTCCTAAGGTGACGAAATACCGCGTCAGATTTGCAACAGCAGCGCTCGTTCTTGTCGACCTACAAAAGGTAGTACGTGTAATCAGATGCCCAACTCAGTAAGCACGCGTAATATACGTCGTGCATGATCTGAAGTAAGCAGGAAAAGTGTTATTTAAGTCTCTTGCAAAGATTTGGTTGAAGCTGTCTGAGAGTCGAAAAAAATTAGTACACGTCAAAAACGATTCTAGTCACCCCTTTGGTCAGGTAACTAATAAACCTTGGCAGGCATTTGTACGATATTTTCGGGTCCTTCTTTTGTTATGAAGTCCATGACATTCCAGGTAAGGGAATTACCTACACTGCTGAATTTCCCAGTGACCAAATTGTTCCAAAAGAAAGCAGCTATCAACACTAACTCCTTCTACATCGACTAGGACTTACTAAACGCAATGAACGTGATGCGACTAGTTAACATTTCATGGTATTGCCTAGCTCAGCAGGAGCAATCCTGGTTCAGTAGCAACTACCACGCTTCATTCGAGGCGAGCCACATTCAAACGAAACTATTTATGGTTGCTTGTGTCGATCGTGCAGACAATCTAGTGGTGTGTTATCGTTCTTTTTTGCGTACGTATATGGATCGCGCCATGGTTACAGGGAGCGCGTACGTCGTCAGCTAGTAGTTCCGTGGTCTCGATTCACTACAAACTTGTGTTGAGTGTAGGAGAGTATTACGATTGAGTTAGTACATTAGTTAGTACAAATAGTATTTACCGGTAAGTATTTATGCCGCGTGACCAAATTAACGTGATCAAACTTGCTTCTGACCTGTATTAAGTAACCGATAGTATATGTTACTGCTCAATCTCTTCAAATACCTTGACACGACAGCAATTCATGCGCCCGGAGAAATACCGCGACATGCTAACCGAAATCGCTTTCTTTAATACTTAATTAGCCCACTTAATAAGTACTCCCGCCACATTGACTAGCGTGCTTTTGACGAGATCCGTTTGACTCCAAGAATATTTATTGCTAAATACATTGGGTTGGGTTTGACATTGTCGTCATATACAATATAGGGCTGAGATGTTTGTCAGAAATAGTAAGAGGTAGGAGGGAAGGGCATTTTGGAAAACGCGTAATGTTATCGTGAGTATTTATACATGTACCTACGTTCGAGTTAAATGCTATCTCGATTGTTCTGGTTCGATTTAGTCCATGTTGAAGTTTTGCAACTCGGCTGGTTGAAGCAATCTTGGGATAGACCGTCCATCCCCCAGGTTTCGATCCCATTTTGCTACTAGAGTGTGCCGCCGTATATACTAGTAGTACTTGCCAAATGTAATTGCCTCTATTTGGCATGTGTATATTTCATCGCTAGGCACGCTTGTTTGTAGGTGAGTCAATGTCGCTACCAACAAGTTATTAGTATCTACGGTATGCCCATAACTATATAGTATCTAATTATGCTGTTGCTACAGGTACTAGCGGACTCGGCTGTAGTGTCTGTCTCCCGCGGCCATAATCAGCCATTTACGTGTAAACTTCTGAATCCTGAATCAGACATCAAGCAGAATTGTGTACTGTACGGACAGGCAAATTCAGTAAGATACAGTCGATCGACCCGAACGCATCACCGATTCTTTTTTTCTCTCTCTAGCGTGCACAGCAGATAACGTATTTCTACTTCAAGTAAGTGTTACGTGTAGAGAGAAGCAGTACATTATCCCTTAATGTCTTTAGTTGTTGCCTACGAGTCCCGCAGGCAAAAAAAAAATCCTGCTCCTTCGAACCTTTCCTTACTCCCGCTATGATAATATCGATGGATCTCACGCCACAGCTTGCCGATCATTTCCTAATCACCGACGGGGCAGAACGAGGCGGATATTGTGGAACCGTTGACCAAGTCCGGACAGTCTGGCGCTCGAACATGTAAGCGTTAAGGAGCACTGGATCCTGTACATATAATACAGGAGCATCCCTTGATGGCGGTCCCTACACTGTCAGTTCCCGAGGCGTTCCATCTCTCTGGTACGAGAATACTTCTGGTTGGCTACCCCATATGCGCGGGCACAGTCTACAGATTGAATCTACGGATACACTTAGATTATTATGTCCATTTTTACGGCTGTGTGAATATTGTGAGAAGGAACGTTAATATATATTGTATTAACTAGATGACCTTGACACAATTACATTGGTTATGCAGTTTCTGTAGAATACTGTAACTCGGCAAAGCCTACAATATGACCGCTAGTTTCTAACTGCCGCAGAAACTGCTGTTCAAGAGCAATACAACACTCTAGTATTGTACATGAGGACAATACAGTACTTGTATTGCTCTGAAAAGACAAAATATGGCAGTATATTTGAAATAATATCCAAAAACAGGTCTATTGGGCAACGTACTCAGACTACTTGACAAAACTGCGAGGGGAATGTAGCGGGTGTGGCTTGCATACATAGTTTTGAAGTGTGCTCCAAGGACCCCACCGTGTGCTTTAAGACGAATAATTGCATCGATTGTACACGCACAAGGACTGTAGTGAAAGCGCTGGCACCTACTACTAGATTGTCCTCGATTTAATTCCACTCTGCTTGATCTTATTCTATTCAGTAGATGTAAAACAAAAAAACTTAGAATAACGAAACCATTCTGGCAGAATACATGCATTCATTTAAAAATACTGGCCATTTTTACGTATTTTGTGGCATCATTCTTGTTAAATATGCAGTACATGCAAGTATTATTCGTTCTCAAGTTGGCAAGTAGAAGTAGCATTGCCTACTAGGGTCAGCTTAAGCTTCAGATGAACAACCCGTTAGTATTTTGCACTATCATCCTTGAGGCTACCACTAAAGTAACTTCCTTTATTCATTTGAAAAATTACGAAAGACTGATAGATAACATTATTTTTCTGGAGTCGAGATGACCTCGAGTCAGTATAAAAGATATATATATATATACTGTAAGTAGTCACACGGCTCAAACTTTTTCCATGTTTCACCGGTCAATAGGATTGCTGGATTTGTTTCTTCCCTGCGACTGAAAGTTACATGTACATGTAGTAACTGTAATGACTCATTTCTACATATTTACAGGTTAACGTTCCTTGAATCTGATTGGGTAGACAAACCTGCAACCAGCAAATCTACTAACCGTGAGAACCACTTCACATTACATTCTGAAGCCTCTCGCCTAGAGTTCCAGACGGACCGTCTATAGCTTCCCAAGAAGTACTGTACTTCAATTGTTTACAACTATCACAACCAGGTGCATCGTCTAACAACAATTCCTGGAAGGTAAATCAAAGAGGGCAGACCTGGTGCTCAACTATATTATTATTACCCAAGTCTTGAACAAAAAGCAGGTTCCCGCGCGTCATGACATTCACGACAGGAAAATGTTTGTAGTTATGTACATAATACAATTTATTACGTCATATACTATAATCCACAGGACCCAACCACTCGGCTCGTCTGGATGAAACCTGTTTCGCCATTTTTAACTTGTTACCAAAGAATTCATATCTTACTTGTTAATATCGTCAAGCTGTAATTGAACGACAATGGTCTTGTATTGTGTATGTATTGCAAAATACTCAAGAAAAGGTTCGCTCACAATTGCTGGTATAGGAGGGTGTGATTAAAATATCTTCTTTTCATTTCTCTCCCGATTTCCACTGTTATGCTCGTTGAGCGATGTATAATGGCTGTGGGCTAAAATAAAGTACTGTACAATATCGCGCATCAAAGTTGCACGAATTACTGTATGAGCGAAAAGAACCACGTACATTCTATAGTCTAACGGCAAATCTTGTTGCCGTAATAATGTCTATTTTACAATAGACATTATATAATGCTACATTGGCATGACGTTAATTTTTTGTCATGAAGACCATTGCTGTATTCATATTTAAATTAAATGTGTACTATCCTCTAAACTCTCGGTTGTTGTTGACCTTATTCAATGCGCGTATAGCTTTTTAACACGAGTCTTTTACCTTGGGCAAGGTACAGGCGGTCCAGCCGAGCATTATCGCAGGTAAATCAACATAAAGATGTGTGTTTTAGTACTGTGCATGCGCCTAATCACGCAATGGTCACTTACCCGACACGCCACGGGCGTCAGTCCATGTTGTCGTTGTTGAAACGGATGGCATAGCGATCTAGAGTTTAAGCTATTGGATCGTAATTGAAGTTTGCAGACCCGGATGGTTTTCTAGCTCTTGAATTCAGGAAGACACAGACACAAAATCTTTCACTCATCCAGTAGTCCGCTGGTCGTGGACTCGTCTAACATCAAACGTCTACTGCACATGAAGCAAGATTTTGGTGGACGGTATTCGTCCGGACCAGATATGCGGTAAGTGCAAATCTTCCGAGAAAACCAAAAGACGACAATGGTGCTCCTCACAGCCTGCAACTGCACACTTCAATTTGAGAAACACTGGATCCAGTTTGGATAGTGCTTGCTTGTATGTTCTCAAGTTGCAGATTGCAGACTGCGATAGCAAGATGTACCAGAGCTGTATGTTCAACGCGAGGACGACGTCAAAGCGGTTGTGCGTTGCTGCTGTCACTGGTCGTTCTGAAATGACGACCAAGCGACGGCAGCACCGCACATGTCGGACACAGGACGGGTCAGGATGGGCCGGTCTCAGTTTGTTGACAACAAATTGTTGCCACCTTGAAACACGATCCGCAGTGACCCTGCTATTAGTACGCTTACTAGGCAGTTAAAAGATACAGATTAATGTTTTTTTTGCAGTGACGTCCGGGGCATCCAAACATCGTGCTTTCTTACGGTGAATTACAGTGAGCTTGTCGTTTCTGTCGAGGACTCATCTTCTTGTTTCGATAACATGAAGTATTCCAGTACATAAATGTTTATTCGTACATGTATACATAAATTCGATGGATGAGACATCACACTGGGCCCGTCAAACGGCCACCAAAATCTGAATTACTATTCCTCGCCTTGGGTGAGGCGCAGCACGATATTCGCACCATAGTCGCATTTTTTTTTCTCTCCTGTCCTACAATAACAACGGTTCTCGCACCTGGCGAGTGCAATGCACGGAGTTCGGCACTGGGGCTTACCTCCGCCATTTCCGCGCTGGTTTGTTTTCGCTACACATGTACGCTCGCTCGCATCCGTGCGCTTGGTTGGTCATAGTGAAATCAATTCAAATGTTTAGGATATTCTAAAACATGTATGCCTTACCTCAAAGATTAACACCGGTATGTGAAGGATGACAAAGCTTACCGAACAAACTGGAAAGGATTGCAACGGTCGAAACCCCCATAGTTCGCGGATATAAAGCAAGGTAGACTGGTGTATAGTCATTTTAAACGAGCACAACTTTACAATGGTGCTTTCAGTACTTGCATACTACAACGTATTTTTAGTAAAGTGGACTACGATCGATCCAGTTAAAGAAGAATGGACTAGCGAATATACTTCAATCATAAATCAGCTCCTGCAATTGCAAGTGCATCTCCACAATACAGGATACCAAAAGGCTGGTGTGATAAAGAGCGTTGGACTGAATGATCACTTAGCTCACGCAACCTCATATCCGCGGTCACTGTTGTTCGATCCTCAACAGTTCCACCACTAAAATAGACCCTCATCGTCTGCATAAGAATTGTAGACGGTGTACGGCAACGCTTTCTAATCACCTACTCGAAGCATAGCCACTGTCTCGCTCGGAGTGTTACCCTGGATCCTCCATTCAACAATCTGCACTACAGTCATCACAGAGCCGACAATGGGTAACTTCCGTTCTCAGTACGATAAGTGTCTACGTCGACACCCATTGCTGACCAAGATGGCTACATCCTCGGTGTTCTTTGGACTGGGTGATCGCCTCGCTCAGCGAGTGGAAAAGATCGGCAAGACCGACGAAGAGCTAGAAGAAATGGAAAATACCGTCGAGAAATCCCGAGTACTAAGCGAGAGCTCAGCGAAGACTGTCCGTATGATGGTCTGGGGTGGCTTGCTGTTGAGCCCCATGGTCCACTCTTGGCACAACCTCATGGAGCGAGTATTCGTCGGAACGGGGAAGACGGTCGTGGCCAAGAAAGTACTGGCGGATATGGTGTTTATAGCACCGCAGATGCCGATCTGGTATCTCACGAGCACGGGGCTTATGGCCGGTAAACCTCTTGGACAGGCGTTGGATGAAGCGATCGAGAAACAACCAGTCATGCTCATGGCTAACTACATGGTGTGGCCCACCGTCAATTTCATCTCCTTCAGCTACGTGCCGCTACACTACCGACTCCTGGTCGGCAACGTCGTCAATCTCGGCTGGTCATCATTTCTCTCCTACATGGCAAACAACCCAGCACCGACATTGCCGTACTTGCCAGCAATTTGCTTGAACAGATTTTTGTTGTAGATTTTAAAGCAAATTTTGTTATAAATGAAATAAAAAGTTGATAATTGCCATCAACATTACTCACCTTCGTGCAACATTTCAATCCCGTCCAAACTGATCACGATTTCAATCGGTTGGTGGCCAACAGTGTCAAAGGTTGCAACACCCGAGCCATGGCGTCGACGTCCGAGCTGCGTAAGGCTCTGTCCAAGTACGCGCTGCCCAGCGACAATGAGCTGCGTCACCTGCGTGCCGCAGACCCCACGACGTCCTACCGCGCGTCCTTCTTCCGCTTGCAGATCGACGAGCTACTCGCCGCAACAGGCCGCAAACCCAGCGCCAAGGTGTCCTCGGGTCTGCAAAATCTGCTGTTCCAAGTGAAGGAGATCCTGCAGAACCTGCAGGACCAGCAGGTCACTCAGGACGCTCTCCAGGCGCGTGGTCTATTAGTACGCAACCACATTAAGCGCAAGGAGATCGTCCTGCCCTTCCAGCGTCCTGCACGTCTGGACATCGTCGGCAGTTATATCCTGCAGACTATGGCCTACGCAGGCAAAAAGAGCGGCGAGTACGGAGTGTTAACCATCGACCTGGCCGTCGAGATGCCGCAGGACTGCTTTTTACCCAAAGACTTCAGTAATTACCGGTATTTCGACAAACGTAACCTGTATTTAGGCGTGCTGGCGTCGGAGTTACAGGGGTACACCGAGCTGTTCAACCAAGTTACGCTTCAAGCCTGGAACGGCGAGTATGAGAAGCCTGTAGCCATGTTGAAAGTCAACTCGGAGTACCTTACCGAGCACGGTATGAAGGGCACAAAGGTGCATATCCGGGTGATCCCCGTAGTAACGACGGAGCTGTTTAAACTGGCAAAACTAGTACCGTCGAGGAATAACGTCAAGCACGAGCCCAGTATGACAGAACAGGAGATGAAGCAGTGCAGGACGCCCATGTACAACAATTCGATTCTGGAGGATATGCTGTTACGCCAACATACACGCGAGCTCCATGCGGCGCTGAAAGAAGCACCACAGCTGTCAGAGGCCTGTGTTCTGGCCAAAGTGTGGCTGAGACAGAGGGGATTCCACAAGGCTATGGACTCTGTTAACGGCTTCTTGGTGTCCATGTTGCTGCTGTATTTGTACCAGAAGAAGAGGATTAGTGCTCAGACCCCGTCAGATCAGATGTTCAAGGTGTTGGTGCAGTTTATCGCCGTGCACAGGCTGGAGAATGAGCCGCTACAGTTCCCACCGAACGAGACCGGAGTCGTACTTACAACGGAGGGGTTGCAGACGTTCCGGAAGGCTTTTGACCTGGTGTTCCTGGACTCTTCTGGTCGGTTGAATCTCTTCGGTCGTGTGTCCAAGAGTGCGTGGAGAGAGCTTCAAAATGCTGCCAATGAATCGGTCAAGTTGGTGCAGCACTGCACGATGGACGACTTCCGGGCGCTGTTTATCAAGAAGAACGAGTTCTGGACGCGATACGACCAGTACTACTGGTTCCCTGCCCCTTGTCCAGTGGATGATGCCGATGAAGACACGTACACTTTACAGGAGAAGCGAGTGATCAACGATATGGGTTTAGAGAGGTTTTGGCTGCGTAAGCTGGAGTCCGTGCTGTCTCAAGCGCTGACGGACCGTGTGAGTCTCGTGCGACCTGTTACCGAGGACGACGCGGAGTGGAATATGCAGGATAACTCGTTGCCGATGCAGCGTAAGGTGGCGCTTGGATTGCGGATTAACTCGGATAACGCACTACGGATCGTCGACAAAGGCCCGTCAGCAGACGACAAAGTGGCGAGCACTCAGTTCCGTCAGTTCTGGCGTGGCAAATCCGAGTTGCGGCGCTTTAAGGACGGCGCTATCATCGAAGCTGTGGTGTGGGAAGGTATCGGCACGGAGAACCGACACAGAGTGCTGGATGCCATCGTGAACTTCATCATCCCAGCTCACTGTCCTCAGCTCACGCCGTCGCAGATCAAGACGTCGAATGCTGCGTTATACTCGGCACTGGACGTCGAGGAACCAGCAGCTTTGAAAACCAAGACGTCGAACGCTTCTTTCGAGTCTACAATGAACTCGGTGTCCAAGTTGTGGGTCATTTTCAACAACTTCGCCAAGACACTGCGAGATTTGGACTCGCTGCCGCTCAAGGTGTCGGATGTGCTGCCAGTGCACCCTGCGTTCCGCTACACTAGTCTGTTCCCAGTCCAGCCTCATCCGTTGGCTTACTCGAAGGGCGAGAAGATCGACGCTGCGCCCATGGCTCACGTTAACACCGTTCTGGAACCTCTGGTGTTACATGTCAAGTTCGAACGCTCATCCGCTTGGCCGAGCGAGAAGAAGGCGCTGATGCACGCCAAGACCGGATTCTACGTGCACATCGGTCACGAACTCCAGTCGCGTCTGAATCTGCGCTGTGAAGTGGCGAAAGACTGCGTGGATGTATTCATCAGTGGCTACGTTTTCCGTCTAGTTATCCGTAGCGAGAAGGAGCTGAGTGTCGTGACTGGTGCTGCTGGAGTCAAGAAGCTTGCGATCGTTCACTCTCCTGAATACGTGATGGCTAAACGGGAGGCTGACTACGTGTCCAAGCACGCGAGTACGGTGCATGCGCTACATACGAAAAACACGGCATACGGCCCCACTGTTCGGCTTGTACAGCGATGGCTGGCTGACAAGGCGCTGAGCAACGTGTTGGCTATTGAAGCAGTGGAACTGCTGGTGGCCGACGTGTTCCTGTCTAGTGCTTCAACGTCCTCTCCTCACTCGGTTCTGTCGAGTTTCCTCCGGTTTTTAAAGCGTGTTGCGAGTTTCGACTGGCAGAATGTGCCGTTTATTGTGGATCTGAACAGTTCGTTGGACGATGCCAAGCGTCGAGAGATCCTCAAGCGCTTCGACGCGTCCAGTACAAGTCCGTCTACCCATCCTGCGATGTTCATTGCTACTGATTATGAAGATATGGACTGTTTGTCAAGCTGGACGCGGTTTACGCCGGACAAGGTGGTTGTGCAGCGTCTGGTTTCTTTGGCCCAGGCTTCGTACGGCGTGTTGGTGCATTGGCTGGCCTCTGGCGCGTCGTCTTCGGGATGGAAAACCGCCTTCTCCTCGTCTAGAATGGAATTCGACGCGATGCTCCAGCTGGCCACTGAGAACCTCCCGACCAAGAGGATTCGCGTCGATGGAGACAAGAAACACCCGTTTGTTGCGCCCGTGTACAAGAACATGGATATGACTGCCGTTCCAGTCATGATCGGGTTCGATCCTGTGCACGAGTTACTGCAGGATCTGCAGCGAGTGTTCGGCCACTTGGCTTTCTTCTTTGTTAACGGCGTCGAGACGACGGAGATCCTGATTACTTGGAAGCCGCAAGCTTTCCTGCCAACCAAGTTCCGAGCTATCACAGCGAATTACCAGATGCCACTACCCACCTCAGCTGAGGATGAGGACTCGACACGGTGCTTTGCTGTACCGAACATTTTTGAGATCCTGTCAGACATGCAGAGCATCAGCCATGGAATGGTTGTTGGTGTCGCGCTGCAGCCTTTCGAGAGTTCATAGACTAAAGGGACAATATAGATGCATTTGGTTGTTTGAAACTCTACTGAAGTGTTTTTAAATGTGCAGTACGAAGACCAAATTCAAGTTAATTTAACCCCTTCGGTACCCAACGTAGCCGTAACTCTAATCTAAATTGTCGTACAGCTGCTGCGTAACGCTACGTGTGCACTGATGCCATCGGTATTGCTGCCAGCAATACTGGGTACGCATAGCATTAGCTTTGTTCTTCGCGTAATGTTGTCACCTTGTTCTGCGTTATCCGGCAGCTTGGAATTATTTCTTCATATTTTTTAAGAACACTTTTTCAAGCATATTTTGACTTTTTTTTTCAAACAACTTTACGCACTGCACCAACATACCTAACTATTTTTTTTGGAACAAACATACCTTTATCTTACTAACAGGATTAAGGAGACGTGACTACTACTATCTGCTGGAGCTGGTCAGATTATCAGAGGCGAATGGATCTACAATTCCGACAGCGACCACCCCCCGGACTTCCTGTGGCTGCCGAAGCGAGGCCTGCATCCGACAGCGACCACCCCCCGGACTTCCTGTGGCTGCCGAAGCGAGGCCTGCATCCGATACGGTAACAAACATCGGACTGAGCTATGCCGACGTGGGTATGCTGCTGAAGAAGTCGGCCGCTTGTTCGGCTTAATCTGGATCATCGCTCCTTTCTTCGTTGGTTATCATTCGAGTATGGGTGCTTTTAGAACAGCTAGTGCATCGGCTCTTAGCGTAAGAGTTAATTAAGGCAGCAATGTGAATTCTGTCATTATTCCATCCCTTACGTTCCTGATTCCTGATCCCAAACCGTTAGATTGATGTTCAAATTTAGGATCGCACGCTTTCTTCACTGTTAAAGACGACGGAAGAGCATGGAGCGGTTGCGAGCTGCGTTTGACGAAGTCGTGGAGATCGTCAAGTCTGCGCTAGAAGGTGAGCCCAAGACGCCTGCAGAGATTCTACTGGACGAACATCTTCCCGTCGAAGAGAACGTTCTATCCTCTTTGGTGACGAAGAATCAGCAAACGACGGGTATTCCGACCTCCGTTATGAACGAACTGGCGTCACGCACACACAACGTCGTAGATTGTCCCTGCATTCAAGCTCGGATCTGGGAGATCCTCATTGATCACCAAGAGAACCCAATTTTACTGAAAAAGGCGCTAAATCTGCTGCAATATTTACTGATTAACGGTTCTCAAGAAGTTCTCAAGGACACTCGATCGCCTGCCCGAGCTTCATTCCTGTTAGAGCTGGCAACAGAATACAACAAGTACGAGTTCGAACAGTACGAGTTCAGCCAGAACCTAGACATTGGTGCAGGTGTACGCAAGACAGCGACGGAGATCAATACGCTGCTTGAAGATGACGACGCTCTGCTTGAAGCACGTCAAAAAGCAGGAAAACTGCACCAAAACCTGTCGTCACGAGGCCTACGCAGTGCATACCCGACATCAAGAGCAAACGATAATCCATCGCGGCCTCCTACGTACACTGACACGTATTCGTACGGCTCAAGACTTGACGATATTGCGTCGAGATTCGTGACGCACCCATCCGATTCAGAGGACGAGAAGAGCTAGAAGTGCGTAATTTATTCTGCAGTTTACTTGGTTGATAAAACTCGGAGATACACCATGTCGTATTGGTTGCGGTCGAACTCGCACTTGTCAATCTCTTTTGAGATTCTACTTAGTATTTGTTTGCGTTGTTCACAGGCTTGACTGTCCTTAGCGACGGGTACTAGAGTTTTTGCAGTTTCGAAGCACGCCAGAGCTTTCTCGTAATTGTGCAGTACATGATGAAGCTGACCCATGCGAAAATGAGTTATCACCTGGTTGTTATCATGCTGAAGTGCTTGCTCGCAGTGATACAAACCCTTGGTATAGTTTCGCTGCATCTCGAGGTAGCCGCTCGCAATGTTCAAATGGCACGAGATCTTGAGCTAAAAGAACAGTTTAAAACATCAGAACATATGTGTACGATGCTGAAGAATAAAGACGCACCTCTCTGAGAACAGGAGATATTTGGTCTTCGTTTGTAGAGCTGAATTCTGGCCGTGCTCGCAGTATTTCCAGACAGCCTAGCACAACTTGATATTTCGTTGTTGAGTAGTCGAAGAAGTTCTCGACAGCTAAGACGTTGGCCTCTTCAAACGTCCATTGGATTCGTTCAAGCATCTCTTTAAACGTTCGGCCTTCAGTCAAGTCAGATACCGCTCTTTTGATCGTATCGTTGTCTGTCTCCACGTAAGATAAAGCGACAGCGTTAAGTTCTGCTATTTAACCGCATAAGTTGTAGAAACGTACCATCAGCAGCATCACCTTGAGTCAGCAGCCTGATCTTCACTCGTTCCAAAGAATCCTTTCCGTTTTTGTGCTCAGAATCCTGTTCAACAAAGTATTAGACTAACAGAACAAAAACAACTGCAGTATATATTTTACTAACCAAGGTGTTGATCCGGTTGTAGTGCAACATGGCCAGCAATGGTGCGTTCATCTGTTCAAACGCTTCACCTCTCTTCAGCCACGCCGTAAGGTGCAAATCATCTCGTATCAGCACTTCTTTATATGCCTCGGTTGCTGCTGCCAGCCTTCCTTCTTCCAGATCACAAGAGCCAATCCCCATGTACACGTCCTTGTAGAACATCTTTATAATAGCCATCAGGTCGTTCGCTTTGGGCAGTGGAGCGTCAGTCTTTTTCTTCTCTTCGTGACTGCAATTTCTACCACATGAGTGGTCTTCCTTGTCCCCATGCTTGCAGTCGTGACTCTTATCGCTTTGATTCGTCTTAAGAGGCTCCTTGTTGAGTAATTTAACCTGTTCTTGCTCTGCCTTGAGCAGCTCTGGAGCCAGCTCTTCCAGTTTCTTAATAGAAGCTAGGGCCTTCTCAAATAGTGGCTTGGCTTGCTTGTTATCAGCTCTATCTCCTAGACGTCGGTTCTCCAGAATCTGTTGCAGTAGCTCGTGCTTCTGATTAAAGAGAGAGGCTTGAGTCTGCAGCTTCTCAGCTTTATCAGCTTCTACGCTATCATTTGCATCCTCTCTGCGGCCCTTACGCACTCGCTTCTTGGCCTTAAGAGCCGCTACTGCGGCTTGTGCCGATAGGATATCCGCCGACTGCTGCGCCGCTTGCGTGGCCGAAGTCTCGACGCTCTCTTTGGCCTGCAACTGTTTGCGCTGCTGTTTCTGCTGCTCCTCGCGCTGCTCCAACTCATCCACGCGTTCCAGCTCCTTCTCCACGTCGAACTTGGCCCAGGCTGCATACGACGCGCTGCTCATCGTACCAGGCACGACGAAATGATCTACTTGGAAGTACCTAGGTACTGAAATAGTACGTGACGCGTACTGAAATCGGTATTTTACAAGAATTCTTGTAAATTACTTTTTTTTCATATTCGCAACGCTATGAGCAAGATACTTTTTTCATACTAGGCATTTCTCAAAGCAAACAAAGCAAGCTAACTTATGAGAGTGTATGACTCCAGACATAGTCATAGCCTCCTCCATAAAAAAAAATGGAGGGAGGGACTAGTGGGCCAACACACTATTCTTTTTCTTACTGTTCCTGCTTGGGCTGGCTACTGGGAGGCATTGTCGACGATCTTGCTGGCCACAGCCTTGGTCACATCCTTGCCGATGTCGCGGGCCACACCGCTGATGTCCGAGATGACAGCTCCGCTACTGGAAACAGCCTCCTTCATGGCACGGTCAATGCGAGACTCCTGAGACTTGAGGAAGGGCGCCAGGAAGTGCATGTAGAGGAACGACGCACCAAGAGTGGAGGGCATGAACAGCCACAGCAGGAAGCCGAGCTTGAAGGCGTAGTAGAAGGGGATCCAGTACAGCAGGAAGTCGGCAAAGATCTCGACGAGGTTGAAGCAGGCGTACACGACCCAGTACGTGAGCCACTGCACGTCGTCCTTCTTGTCGTCCGTCTCGATGGCCTTGAACGAGCAGTAGGCAGGGTACACGAAGCCCACGAGGTTGCAGATGAGTCCAGCGCCGAAGCCCACGAGCAACAGCAGCAGAACCAGAGCCGCGCCGCCCGCCACCAGGTACAGCTTCTCCACGCCCGTGGCGTCCTGCGCCTGCTGCAGCACCGGGAACTTCTCCAGGTCCTTGGCCCACTTGTCCATGTACACTTGCACCTTCTCCATTCCTTCTTCTTCTCCGGGTTCTTCACTTGGGTTCGGGAGTATGCGTGAGCCTTTTTCGAGAGTGACTACTGGCTGGACCAGGATCGGTTGTCTCGGTTTGGAACCCCAAACCGTTGAGAACACGGGTGATTTTCGGACCACCCACGATGACAAAACACCCCGTTTTGATGCTCTATTATTGGTATATTTGAGAATTAAACACATCTGGATTATAAAAGCAATGGGATTGATGCCTGGCATTTGCTTCGACCTACTGATCGTGGGTGTTGGGAACTGATATTTGCAGAAACATGACGTGACGGAGGTTTGCTGTGACGAGCCCCAGCTTTGATTTTCTAGCTGCGGAGTTGAGTTTGCCTACTAAAATCAAGTACAGCCGAGCGGGGAAGCTCGTGAAACATAAAACAGTGATGACAACCATCTGGCAAGGAGCTCCGTCTTATTTTCGTTTCCAAGGTGTATTATGTTTGACAGGCTGAAGCGAGATTGAATTTTGATGGAACCACGAGCTGTAAAGCAAGTTAACCGCGCATGGAGGAGTACACACATTATTATCCATAGGTTTCATGGTGGAGAGTGGCTGCTAGAGTCTAATAATGAGGCACTGGTTGCACTTCCAGTTTTGAGAGATGGCAGATCAGACTGCTTGATTGCGCAGGTTCATTGCGTCTCGCAGGTTCTGAGCATTCTGCGCGTCATACCATGACGCGCCGGCGTCAAAACTTCGTTCGAGTTTACCCGTCACTAAAGCGAGTGCATGTGGACATAGCTTTTTGAAAAAAGTGCGCATTGATTTCGGACCACTTTTGATCTTTTTTTATTATGGTGGGCCACAAGCAGTCAAGGCAAGAACTTTTTTTTCAATAAAAAAAAGATCAAAAGTGGGCCGACACCAATGCACACTTTTTCGACACAAAGTACTTTTTTGGTGTCTAAATTTCAAGATTCTGTCTGTACTTGGATGGCATTCAGACGAAAAAAAAAAACATAAAAATTTGATGTCCATGAGGAAGCGTTTCACTAGGAAGGTTGGCATGCTCCAAGATCGAGTCTTGAGGGAATAAGCTGATGGACTAGAAAACTACAAAGCAAAAGGCAGAACCGGATAGCAAGGGCACAGAGCGAAAGGAAAACGAGCGATAACACTAAAACGGAAGAAAGGAAATCAAAATCTAAGCCTAGGACGAGGCTGCAACCATGATACACAAATGTAAGTTCATTGTTCAATTATTTGACCTGATACTAACTGACATTTAGCTTTACCTGTAGCTCTAGATGACCTCCTTCAGATGCGTGAGGTACCCACAGAAGAAGGGAACCTCCTCCTGTGCCTGGAAGACCCAGGAAGCCTGGACGCCAGCGATCCATGTACAATGTCCTACCAGCTAATCTTGCGACATTGGATAACCACTGGGCACTGCCTCCAGCTTTGACGTCAACTTCATCTATCTTGTCACCGCCAGACATGATATTCACCGTCACATCTTTCGTGTCTGTGCTTTTGAAGTCGACGATAACTGCTCCATCGCCTTTGCGTTTCCAGGACATTGTACTATTCTTAAAAGCCCGTTGAATCATGGTCAAGCCAAGCGTCTTAGGATCCGTACCATCGTCGATTTCGCCCATAAAATTTGTAGGTCCACAGATTGTCTGGAGGTACGTTGCGATAAGACCCATAACTCCGATCATATCGAAACCGGTGACAGCGATAGAGATGAGAACCTTTCCGAATGCTTGGTACATGAAGTAATTTCCATCCTCGTCGGAGCCATTCTTGCTCTTACCCTTCGAAACGAGATCTTCGATCATGCCACTGAAAGCCGTGCGAATCTTTTCACGCGTCTTGTAAGCTGTTGCTTCGTCGGACTCCTCAATCAACTGCTCCATGCAGTTGTTGGTGACGATAGCGATGTCAGACCTCACAAGTTGGGTGTCCTGCATTTTCAGGCGCAGATTGTCTTCCGAGATGCCGGGGTTGTCGATTTTCAGTTGATTTACGGTTCGCCACGTACGATCGGTCAGTGACCTCAGATCGTATCCACAGGTTGACTTGGACTTCATCGCGTCACTTAATGTGCCAATCTCAGTCTCGTTGATCGAGTTCGCGGCTTCTGTAAAGTTGGCGCCAATAAGGAAAGCCTTGAACCGGGACCAACTCGAAATGAGGGATTCCTTATACCCAATAGCATTCAGTAGGATCCAGTTGATTGTCGAAAGCATGCGGCCGGAGACATCTAGCGTCCGGGGTGGAGGTTTGCCCGAGCAAAGGTACATAGCCATCGGTAAATCTGTGACCACGTTGTGCGATTGATACAGAATGTTCAAAATCTTTTCGGTCGAGGCTGTCGGATCCGTGGTCTTGATGTTACGGATATAACGAAAAATGGATCTCATCGTGCCAATCATGATGTTGACACAGTCGAAAGCGAATCGCACGCTCTCCGCCACTTGCCACAGTTTCAGAAAGGCGCCAACAGAAGCAATAGCCAAAGCCGAGTTTCCGATGGCACCGATCTTGTTGAGTGTGTCCATCATGCAGTCGTCGTTCTGACGGATACACTGCATTCCACATTCTACAGGGTAGGCAATTGGACACTCGGCCCAGCATGTATTGGTGGCCTCGTTGCGGTCAAAGTTGGTTGGACAAGTGTCCATGATGTGAGCTTCACGGTAGCACGCACCGTCTGGAGACACGGGTCGGGGCCCGACCCAATTTCGATATTCCGAGGTTACTGAGCTCGTCGCCTCCGTTACTTTGGGTATTGTTAAATCCAGTTTGTCGGTGTAAGCATCGATGGCAGCGCTGGACGACGTAGCTGATACCAGGGCTTTCGCGCTTGCCTCGTCCAAAGACAAGTAGAGTGACGAAGAAGACTCAGATGTTCCTATTATTGATACTGTAGCAGATAAGTCTGAAGATCCTGATGAGCTTGGCGATGTTACTTTAGCTGGGGTTGGTGTCGAGCTGCCATCGTCGTCGTTCCAGAAGGTCCAGTCGATTGCGAAAGTATTTACCAGGCTTGCAGCCACAACCAAGACGACGAGAATTCTTCTGTGTTGAGTCATGACGCCTCCCCGGAGGGAAAAGTTTTAATCGTGAGCCGCGAATCTTCACGAAGCGTGGCAAACTCGAACTGTTCAATTGTCCGGTGCTGGACTCCAGCCTGGAGGCCTTGGCTGCGATGGTGACAACGAATGTGACTCAATTTGAGCCACTTGTAGCCACCCTGTCCAAGCGGACATCACGTACTTCAAGTTCGAGGATTGTGAATACGGTTTATTACAAATTAATGAATCAAGTGGTTGTACATAATAAAGTTAGGATTAGGATCCACGACGGGATTGGCTTGACAGAAAAAGAAACGCATGGTTGGGAACCTGCCTGCAAGCAATGGTTGCAGGCAGCAATACAGTACGTTTACGCCAGGTTAAGTTACCCTTAGTCTAAACATGCTAAGATTCACATGTTTTACTTGTACTTACTGTTAGATAACAAACGAAGAGTTTAGACTCTAAAAACTAAAAAAATGTAGACTCTAAACTCTTCGTTTGTTATAAGTAAAACATGTACTGGAGTAACTAAACTTTAGAGCAGCAGATAACGATCCAATCGAGCCGGGGCTCTCATGTGTTTTAATATGACCGTTGTAAACGTACTTTTGGTTCTTCTCGTATATTAGAAGTCGCGAATATCCAATATTTATCGGAAATGCCTTATCAGGAATCGACGACGGCTGGAGATGAAAGATTTAGCACTGGTTGGAGCAGTTAGGTATTTCGTATTATGATATTTTCTGGATGTTGAGTTTCATTAATGCTCCATAAATTCAGTTTTCAAACGGTGCTTAAATTGTAAACCAGGAAACAAAACTTGTGGAGCTCAGACTGCAGTATTTGCTAAGCACACGAAATGTGGCGAAATGAGAGAAGTTGTACGAGACCGACAGAACTCTAGGCTGCCTATCGCAGATTGGGTTGCTGGATAATACCCATAGGAATGTAAACGTATTATGGTCAAAATACGCTACAAGCCTGAACAGTATCTCGCCCGTTAACTGTGATGATATAAATTAAGTTCGCACTAGGAACTTAACATGTACTGTGGACAGTACTAGTTCTTCTGAGCGCATTTTTGGCAAATTCAGTACTCTAGTACTGGATAATGGAAATTACTCGTGAGATAAGTACTAGTACATCTTGTGATAGAGGTTGTTGTATCGCGTCTGGTGGTCATCTTGTGACTTGTGAGTCCATTGAAACGCGTGAAATCGATGACCGCTGAGAGAGTTACACGTGCATGTACTGTAGCACCGAGGCCTTGTATGAAATAATACGGCAACAGCAAATTTCAACCGCTGTGAGATCAATTCCAAAAGTGGAACTAGTACAACAGGATACAATCCGGGTTACTGTTCTGATATAGAGCTAGGCACTACTATTACTACAAGAGCTGTAGTCATGTATTAATAGTATTTCGTTGTGCTTCAAAGTATACAGTACCGCCGCCTTTGCTAACCGAATTGTTGGGTTGTTCAGGTGTGTAGAATTGCGAATTGCTGTCAACTTGAAGTGTCCGCCGGACGGACAAATCTCTGCGCAAAGCTTTGTCCGTACAGTGTTTGATACTTCCGGAATGTCAATGGTCTACTGCTACATGTACCGGTGCGAAGTGGCAATCTGATCAGCGGAGTAGCTTACAACACAGCGATTGTATAGTACTACAGACGATCCCCTCGGTAGTCATAGCGTTGATAGCCCCAATTTATTCCTGTCTAAGGGTATTCCTATCCATGAATGTACCACAAAATTGGATCCGAGTACATTTACACCTTGAAACAGTGCACAAAAACTTACTAACGGAGACGATTGATACTGGCGTTTCGCCCTGTTTTGCTAGACTATTGCCAGGTTCGACTCACCACACCAAGTTACCCTCCTCTCTAGCCCAGCCAGTCCCCCCTCACACTCACCAACACTCAACGACTCGTGTACAAAAATGCTAGCACCATACTGACGTTCCTGTAATAACTTGGCCCAAACAGAGCAAGATTCATGGGCTAGCAGAATCTACGGTCTTCCTCTAGTTTCATGACCTGGCAGCTATTAATGCGCAGCAAGCGCTGGACTAATCGTCTAAGACCTTCACTCCTACTTCAACCAAACGACCATCATTCCTACCGCTAGACGCCGCAAACACACCACCACATAAGTATTCTACAATGTCGGAAGCGGAGAAGGACAGCGTGGTTGCCTTATTTTTGCGCAACTGGTCGTCTTCAGAGGAGGACAGCAAAGACCACAGCGACGACATTGCTGTTGGTGATGCTCAGGCGATGACTCCAGCTTCCCTTAGCACCCCTAGATCCCGCATCGTGTCTTGATCCCCGATTCCGCACTCAAACGCGCTCTCAGGTGCAAAATACAAAGCACAATCGCTCTTAACGCGTTTCACTTTGCACTGCAATTTGCCTGCCATGGACATGCAGAAACGTGCGGAAGGTTCGATGCAAAGTGTCTGCAAACTGCAAGCCGCAAAGGCGGAAATCCTACAAACACTCACAAAAACGACATGTAACACCCAAATCGTCCTCAGGGCACTCAGGCAAGAGAAGGGCAGGTAATAATCGCCCATCGTACGGTCCTTTCAAATATGCTAACAGAATTTAAACAGATATGAAGGGCCTGCATTCTCAAAATTTCTCCGTCCAGTCACCCCCCCCCCCCCAATCCACCGTGCTGCTGGTGCTCGCTGCCTCCGCCGTGTCGTGCTGCTGATTCTCGTCGTCCGTGCTGCTGGTGTCTGCCGCCTCCGCCGTGTCCTGCCGTTGCTCGTCCATGCTACTGGCCTACAAACGCGCCGTATGTATTAGCGCACGGGACTCACTTCACTGTCAATAAAAGGTATGCTCAAAAACAATTATGCAGTGTTATTGCTCGTAACAAATTTATTAACCAGTGCTTTATCTTATTCTATCTGTAGCGCTGGAGCATTGAAGCAAGGGCGACCAGGAAGCCCACCGACGTAGGCACCTTGACGCTTGTGTGGCCCACGGTATACGAGTCTCTCACGCTTGCCCATTGCGTGAACGCCACAGACGTGCTTTGCCAGCAATGTGTGGATGCATGCCGCAAACTTCATCCAGTAACGACACGGACCCGTCCAAGACAGTGTGTTCACAGGCCAGCCACCTTCGGGCATCCCCTCAATCTCCATTCTGACTGTCTGCTCACCGAGCTGGGCCGTGACTGGAAGCGCCTTGCGGGAACGCTTTGCCTCAGGGTCGAAGACACGAGGTACTTGGCGAGAGAAAACCCGGACAACATCGATTGCAGAGTCGCTTCCACCTTCCTGGGCATTGCTAAGCAGAAATGCAATTGAGTTGTGGCGACATTGCAGCTCCAACAACATTCCGGCTTTCCTCATTGCACTAGCGCCTCGAACAAGGGTAACACTTGGTGCTAGGTCCACAGCAAATGATCTGGAAGTGGTGCTTTCGTGTGTGCAGCATGCCATTAGCTGACGCAGCAGGGAGCCCATTTTTATCCTTACACGCAGCGTGTAATCGGGTTTGAGGGACGCGTTAAACGTTTCAACGGGGTTATTCGTCACAGCAAATGCTGGATGAGTATGGAACACCTGCCATCTCCAAAATCGATGGGTTAACCATTGTTGCTTAAAATATTCCTTGAAGCTCTCGAGGCCCGGGTGCAGCGCCCAGTCGTTCAAGATTCGTGTTTTGGCTTCTTCATACTCCAACTCACCGGCGGCAAAGTGCAAGTCATGGACACCACTAGTCACTACAGTGTAGAGAGAATGGTGAAGCTTCCTAGTCTTCTCATGCACTTTTGCAGCTACACAGTAAAAGCACATGAGCACTTCAACTTCGTAATCAGCTCCGAGAACACGGACAACGGCATTGTATTGAGCGTCGTCTGCGCCACCCATCGCAAATCGGACAGCTAATTGCTTACCGGTCACTTGAGAGTAGACCTTCCGAAGAGCCATTAACGCCTCAGAAAAATGAATTTCTTTCCTTTGTGAAGACACAAAAATTGCCATAAGATGAAACTTTCGGCAACAGTCTGTAATGCCTACGACAAACACAGGGTAGTCCACGTGGTTGCATTTGAACGTTGCGTCCATGTGCACGACAAAAGTCGCAGGATTCCGATCTGCCTGGCGTAGTAGTTTCTTCGATGACACCCCCACCAAAAACGGGTTCTCATCAGCTCCCGACCCAACGTACGGTCTACCATCTTCCTCCGTTCTCCACGTGAATGAAAATGCATCGAAATCTTGCTCTTGGCCTGTAAAGGCTGTTTCTCGTACCATACGCCTCAAGCCGTCGAGGTAGTCATTAGCCCCAACGGTTTCGGAAAGAAAACGTTGCACGACCTTAAGTTGCGGCAACGTATGGGGACCAAGGTAAAACTTTCTCATTAATCCGGTGCGGATACGCGCTGGCTTTAGTCCTTGGTCGGCCATCTCGTGAGCAAAATTTTGCATTGCTCGAGTCATGCGGGGTGGCCGAGGCGATCGGCGTGTACTACGTGCGAGCCTACCTTGGAGAGATCAAGAAGATCTTGTTGCTCGCATTTAAGCAGCTTTCCGCGCCACTCGCATCGAGCATACAGCATTGCAGCCCTACACTCGTCGCATGCACAGCGCAACAGGCGCTTTCTCGTGTTGTGGGACGTAGCGTTGGTGCAGACCGTGCATGGAACATGGTCGCTCTTTGCAATTTTGAAGCTTTTAAACGACACCAGAAGTAGGTCGATGTCTTCCTGGTTCAGTCCGACAGCGAGTTCAGCCCAGGGTAGGGCATGAGGCATAGTTTGACGGTGGAGAGGGGGGGGTGTAGCTGCGTGAAGTCTTTAGAAGTGAGCCTCTGTCGGCCAACGCATTTGCCTCCTTTGTAGCGTGTTATTGGTTAAAACAGTGCAATTGGTGTGTTTTGATTAAGTACTGAATAAATGGCTATAATAATAGAGGATTTCAGTGTCAGTACAGACACTTGGAGTGCTGTCAAACTCTATTCGGTACTATTAATTGTCCAAATATGCAAAAGGAGGGGTTTACGGTGCTAGTAGTGTAGTGTGAGTGGTGTATAATTTTCTTAGGTGTTTTGAGGACGTTCTCGCCGCAGAGTGCTCTTAACCCCTCTATTGCTGGCAATTGCTGAACCGATGAAGCCTATCCTTTTTACCACTTTGGACGAGACTCGAGCTTAACGATCACAGAGAAGGGTTTTGCCTTCAGTCAAATTGCCTTATCCACGACGGTGACAACCTTCTTGTCGAGTTTATGATGGCGCACCGCGTGCCGCAAATTGTGGCCAACTGCGAGACCGAAGGTGAGGTGACTGCAAAGCGCTTCGCAGCGGAAAGGACGGTTTGACTGCAACAAACTCGAGGTTTGCGGCAGCGAACTGATCTTTACATCTTCAAGGCCGCCCACTAAGTTCGCAGCACGTTTTATGCTGCATTTTGGCTGCAAAAGTGCAAAGTGCAAAGTGCTCTTAACTGCTCCAATAACGCTCTTGTGTAGTTATGACTGTTCCCATTATTAAGTACCCCAGAATAAGAATATTTGACTTCAAATGTATTCCAATTTACGATTGAGGGGTGAGAGGGAATAATATCTTGGGTTTGTATGTGACTGGTCAACAAGAACCGCCAATTTATTGCTATTGAGGGAGTATTCCAACCCTACGGATTACTACCGAGGGAGTCGTCTGTACATACTAGTATTGTGAGTTTTACTCAGAATTTCCATGCGCGGTTCTTTGAATGAACCGCCCCCAAATCGCCCAGCGTATACATCTCCGTATACTGTCCCTTTTAAGTACGAAATAAGATCTTGACATGTGGCAAGAACAGGCTTGGTGGGTTCTACTAATGACTTGGATTTGTAAGTGAGCGATTGTCCTCCCATGACTCAAACAGACCCAAATCGGCAAATTTGGACGGAACTTACAATAGTGTATAGCATCCGGATGCTGCATCCCAACGGTAATAGTAACACAGGATTGCTGTTCACCAATTTCGGAACGACCTAACGCAGAATACATGTAAAACGAGCGAACGTACTGGGCCTTAATACTAGTACCTGGTATGGCTCGACTGTATTAATACCAACGTCGTTATACTACGCAGTGCCTCGTTGCAGGACAGTGTAAATTACACTGTGTAGTATGTTGCTACAAACTGTGTTTCCAGACGTTTGGACACGCAATGAGGGGGATTCTTTTTTCTACACAATAATCCCAGCTAAAGCAAATTGGTATTACACTAAAGAGAGCAGACTTTCACGAGCATTGTGAGTCCTAGCGTCTAGCAACACATTCCCTATTAGAACGCGCAATGGGTTTGGAGGTCTTCTTTTTGTTATAATAAAAACCTATTTGCATTTATTTTCTTCACCTTGTCGCATGTAGTAGTGGATTTTGGTGCGTACACCTGTGCTCGTATTTGCGCAAATTTGTATTATTTAATTATACATATGAAAAACTTTAAAACCAAGCCAAATACTGACCGTACTTTCATCCACAAAAACAAAATACAACTCATGTTGTGAAAATGTCCGTGAAATACAAGTAAAAACAGATTACATGTATTGAGTTAGAAGCAACCAGGACATGCACTGCATGTACGTGTACGAAACTTCAAGACGTTCAGTATCAGAATGATGAAGACCTGGTCTGTAGCACAGTACCAAGAGCTCAGTGTGTCTATAGCACGGTATCAAGAACACAGTGTGGCAGTCGGGCTGGAAACACTGGAAGCTGGACTTCGAGATCCTAGTGACATCGCTAGTTGATATTACTTGACGTAAGATGCTTCACCTGAATGTATTAATACGGATTAACATGTCAAAAAGATTTGACCACGGGCATGGTCGAAGGGTTTCTAATTTTCAGGGCATCGTAAGCATGATTTACTACTCGGCTTTCTCGTTCGATGCCAGGAGCTCAGAAGTCCGAGCAGCGGCCTTTGCGCTCCCAGTCTCCGAACCTTGTGGGTTCCTTGAGTTTACCGCCACGCGTCGGCCCGCCATATTCAGCCCCTGATGGTCCAATAGCCACCGTTTCCTCTGCGTCGTCGTCATCCAAATCTTCCAAGTCATCCAAATCGTTGCTCACGGGAGCGGCTGGGGTATTCGTGATGTGCGGCTTGCCGCTCGGGTGCAGCGCCACAAAATTCGCATCCCCGGAGCCACCAGAAAAAAGGCGCACCTGGGCGGTTGCTTTAGACACCGTCACAGTCGTCGGCATCGACGCGAGCGCGCGCCTCGAGCCCGCCGCCAAACACACCACTCGTCGCAGCAACATCATAATTCGCGGAATTTGTTCTGAATAACGTACATTCGTGTTCCTCACATCAAAATATTAACACCACATCAAATTCCACAAAATTATATGTATACCACATCATATTATCGTCAAAGGTTGCGTCGCTCCAGAGTAAGACATGGAGTTGGCTGCTGGAAGCTCGTCGCTCGGTGCGCTACGAGCATTTGCGGCAACTTGCTATCCCCAGGATGGACGCAAAACCGGAGGTGGATGCTGCGCCGACGCTCTGACTTTTCCCATGTCGCCGCCCTCGGCTAGCGACGAGTTCTCGCACGAAGTGGCTGCTGGTTTCGTCTTCGCTGAGGAAATGAAGATCGTGCGACAGCTACAGGCCAAATGCAAGGAAGGGCGTGAGCTTGTTAACGTCATTTACTGCTCGAGAAGTTGTGCCAGAGCCTTCCCGCCTGGTGTCGTAGCGAGTGAGACGGATCCCAAGAGGATGAAGAAGTACTACCATGCCATTTTCAATGGTAAGCATCGTTGCTAGGTCTTAGTGGATAATAGCAGTAATGTACTGATGGTTTGCTGTATAGTGTTGCAGCCACAGGTGGAGAAAATCAAGCAATTGAACGAGTACTGCTCGCAGGCGGTGGTGCTGCTGAGCGACAATATCCAGCGGACGACAGTGCACGAGAACATGACGAGAGTGATTCCGGATGTGATGATGGACGCGCTCGTGGATATTATGGACGTCATTCTGCAGCTAAGCCACTTGCATGACACTAAGAGCAGCTTGAGGAATGATTTCTCCGTCTTCAAAAGGTTATTAGGGATGCTGCTGGAGTTGATGAAAATGTGTGCTAACTCTCGTATTGTTCAGAATATTTTTGCATATTAAGGAGGATCTTCCAGACATGGATCTTATAGAGAAGGATATTGTGCGACTACAGGAGTTTATGGGGGGCTCCTATCAAGCGAAAGGTTCTGTCTGGGATTCACTACGGCACAACTTGACCAATGTTAAACGGTACGGAACTTGTGCTTATGACCCTTGTGGACAGTAATGAACCATGACAATAACGTCTAATGTCTAGGTATGATCAAGTCACCTATTTGCTGCTGCGACACTGTGTCAGTCACATCGAGAACGATGTATGCATAACGCCGAGCTCCAAGTTTAAATACATCCGGGCTTTGTCCTATTTAGTGGCAGTTTTAGAGGGATCAGATGCCTGGAAGAAGACGAATACGCTTCCTGGGGCAGACAAAAAGGTTATCGAGGCGGTACGCAAAGCTTCAAGTAGGCTGTTTTGTGCGAGTTCTTGTTGGAAAGGATGTTAACCAACACCAACTCATTTTGTATTTATTTATCATGCACCCAGGCTGCCAAACTTATCACTCACTTCCCAGTAATCCCAATGCTTCACGAAGTCAGCATTAAGCCTGTGAAGACACTACAATCACAAGGTGGCCACAAATTGGAGTCCGTTAACGGTGCGACTCCGTCGAAGAATCGTGATGTCACGTTCGATGTGGTTGCTGCGTCTCGAGATTGCAAAGCAACATGTGAGGCTTATCTTCCGCGACTCCTGCATGCACTGAATACGGTTCGTATTGACTCGCACGAGTGTGATATACTGTGCTGGTACTAACAAAGCAGCATGACCTTGTTTTATAGGGGGTGAGTCACGAGTACACACCCGAGCAAAGCGATGCGCTGTATGAAGTGCTTGTGGAGGGAATCTCACATCTAAGCAAGTGGAAAAGCAGTTTCTTGTTGTTTGTGGCCTGGAAATACCAGGTATGATGGTTAGACGAGGGGATTTTGTACTACTAGGAGTTAATGAAGCACGTGGCGTGTTCGTGACAGAACCCAAGAGCAAACAATACAGGACTTCCCGTGGAAAGCCCGTTCCCCGAATACGAACGTGTGACGAAGCACAACTACTCAGACGACGAGTGGAGGGCTATGGCAGATATCATTTATGCTGTGAAGTCGATGGTGCAGATCTTGCGGGAATCTCAGCCCAAGCTTGCCATGTGTGTGCGCCGAACGGTGTACCAGCAAATTCAAAAATTCGTCCAGCACACGCTGCTTCCAATACTCCACCGAGCTGATAAACGCAAACTGGCTTGCACAAAGCTACTTCACGACATTCGTGTCATGGTACGTTTGCTTTTCTCATTCTAACAATGCATGCTTATAACGGTTGTTGTATGGTGTCAGTGCGGTGATTGGATTGATAGCGAGCTACTAGCGAGCGATTTCAAGAAGAAGCGAAAGGAGCGCAAGTTTTCGCAGATCCCTGATAGAACAGCGAGTGCTCCTCTGTGCCAAATTCAGATGCTCCGGACTGCAATTGATTCGATTGTTGCAAAGCGCTCAATGGGCGACTTGAACGCCAAATCCTCGACATCATCCGCGCTCTTCGCATTCAGAAAGGACCTGGACAGGTAAGCACCTGATCATTGCACTCGAAGTTACACTGTGAAAGGTTATTATCACTAACCTTTGCAACTGTTGACTTTTGACCAGCTCAGATTTAGACATCTTGCAGGAGTTTTATCGCAAATCTGGAGCTTTTAACGTTTTACTCGATCTAAGTACTACACTCAGCGAGCTGGGGAATTTTTCGAATCTCTGGCTTCGCGAGCTCTATGTGGAATTGGTGAAGTCCGCCCAAATTCCAGCCGAAATTTCGCTGCCGTGGCTGTTGATTGAACACTGTTTGGATGACAATACTACACTTGTGGAGCCGGTGCTAGCTGTTTTGGACGCGTACAATGACGCAGGGAATTGCTCGCTTTTCGAACTTCAGCAGCAGCATCTTTACGATGAAGCCGAGGCGGAGGGCAAGCTGTGCTTTGATCATTTTGTGTATCTTCTCGCGGAACGAGTGTATCTCCATTACAAGACGTTGGCTGCAAGAAATATGTGTCGAGATGGGATTCATCGTGCCTGTAAGCAGAGCACTGACGTTGCAGTGAAAAAGAATACTTCTACTCGACAAAATTCCACCATTTCGACTCTTAGTAAGGTATTTGATACCGGCGATGCAGATTCCAAGTACGAATCAATTCTCACGCAGAGATACGTAAGCATCTTCGGACGTAGCTACGATCTCACATTCCAACTCGGCCAGCGTGTAGACGCTTTACTCAGTAAAGATTTGGAAAGCTGGTTCACGAAGTTTGAGGCTAGTGATGCTACCTGTTACGTCGCACTGCTCGATATACTGAAGGTCTTGAGAACGGCACATGCGTCGTTGTCGGTGCTTGAACTGGATGAGTTTGACGATGTAATCGCAGAAGCAAATGACGAAACTCTGGGATGCTTCTTGGAAAACCCCAAGTTTGCGATCCGGTCCCGGATACATGAGCAGATCTCACAAACAATCCTTACTGATCTTTGCCAGCACTTTAGCCTCCAATTTTGCGATAGGCGATTAATCCGAATGCATCTCCACGATGCTTTAACGATGACAGTTGGGGATCAATTTGCGCATGAAGAGTGCTTGAGGAAAGCCAAAAAGCATGGTATACTCCGGCCCAAGATCGGACAATTAGCTGCAATTAAAAACAATTATGGCGCACTTGAGAAAGTCATTACTGGGTCGCATCGTGCGTTCTTCGGGTGAGGCAGGATGGACTGGAGTGAAAATATTTGAGGATAGTTTGCTAATGCTGTTTTTTCTTCAACAATTTTTTTTTACAGAGAACCCCACGTCGAGGCGATTTGTGAACTGCTTTCGCATCGAGAACTTGTTGATGTTGCAAACGACTGCATTAATTTTGCCGTTGCAAAGGTTCGCGTTTTAATTCGACGCAGTTAGCACACAATAGTAATGGACTTTGTGACGAATGCTTGTATCACAGATCGAAGACGTGCTGGCACTGTGCATTCCAGCGTTGGGTTCAGCTATTCCACCGTTTCGTCTACCTCGATTCATGTATCGAACAGAAGGTCTGCTTAATCTGCTTATTTTTTTTTCTAATGGTTGGTATTAACGAATCTGCGTGTTTTGTTTTTTAGGCTGTTTTGGATTCTTTGAGGGCAAATACAAACACCTACTGGACTCCGATGAGCTCGAGGCTCAGATTTTCCACTGTTTTCGTGAAATTGGCAATGCCTTGATGTTTTTATTAATGCTCGGAAGTGTTCTTGTACGTATCTGCGAGGTTTCATTTCTTGTTGCTTCTGCTAAATGGTTGTGCGCTATGTAGAATACAAAGGCAATTCAGCTGAACTCAACGGAAAAATACGATTCTGATGAATGGCATCCCCACTTACTCCAGTGTGCACTCGAACGTATCGACTCGATGCTAAAGGAGTCGGAAATTGCAGGCGAATGGGAAGCTTCACCGGACTCGCAGCCGGAAAAGATGCCGAACACTTCAAGTTTCTACCATGTGTGGTGTGCTCTCGAGTTCCTCAGTTGCAACCATCCACGTATGTGTATTGGAGACTCCACGATGGATGAAGAAGCTCCATTATCATTGCGCAATATGTTCGGAGATGGCGTGCAATTTGCTGGCTGCACTCTCGTGCATCTGCTTGACCAACGTTCACTCTACGATCTCTGGAACGTCAGCCAACACGTTATCAACGTTCACCACTGCGAAGAAGTTAAAGCAGCTAGTGACGCACAGATAGCACTGGTATCAAGCAAAAAGAGTCGACACAAGAGCGAATATTCGAGCGTTCAAACTACCGTGGGAACACTGGACCGAGAAATGGAGGACAAGGCTGCTCGCTTCGTTGTGAACGCTCGAGAAATGCGTGCAACTTCCGAGCGAATATTTCATACACTCGAAATGGCGTGGCCATCTGGGAATACAGTGCCAACTACCTTCACCCCACCGTCGTTCACTCCACCGGTGAAGACCCCGTCATCTCCGATGACTACACATACACAATACCTTCGATGAATACCCAACTTTGACATTTGACGCCTGAGATCCTAACAAAATAGACACTACGTTTGGTCAACATAATACCCACTACATTTCTTGTTAAACTTCTCGCCCCTCTCCTTTTATACTGCTTACTTACGACAGCCAGTATGCCGCGAAAGTGGCTACCATGAGCACGCTGCCAATCAGGTACACTGTCGTGGACCAGTCCTCTATCGCCGCTGCATTCTCCATTGCGCCTTTGGTACTACTACCAGACGATGTCGATGTAGCTCCATCCGGTGTCAATTGCCGTAGTAACTCCTGATCTTTCTCCCGCTCCTCCTGTAGTGCTACCAGATCTGGAAAGAGTTTCCGGAATGTAGCATTGGTACAATTCGTCTCCAAAGACGCCACCGCATACTTTCTCTTTTGAGCATCCGTAGTACTAATACTCCCCAATGTCGCTTGGTTCTCCAACTAGAATAATATAACAGTTAGTTGCAATGTTTCTAGTGGTTCTACCTGACATGACAGCCCTACCATGAACGAATAGAGACCCGTGAGGATGGAGCTGACAGACCACATGGGGTTCCAAGTCTCTGGGTGGAAGTCCGACATGCTAAGACATAGGCGCTGGTTGGTCTTGAAGCGGCCGTTGGGCGTGATCATCATGACGGAAGGAGGCTTCATAGGATACTCGGGTGGGAACTTGAGCTTGCCATGGTAGAATCCTCCCTCGTATGGCGTGCCTTTTGTGCCTGTGATCACGTAGTGCCACTCCAGAATGTTGGTCTCCAGCGGCACTGCCTGGATGTAGTCCACGGGTTTGCGCTGCATGGCCAGGTACTCTTTACGAAGGCGCTTCGTCGCCATCACCGACGCCATGTTTGCAGTAGTTCGACACTAAAGGCGGTTCAAACACGTGTTCAGAAATTGGTTAGTTTAATCAAGAATAGTGTACTGTTATGATAGAGCCAATCATCAATGGATACACTATGTGACGCGACAGCATATTAGCGGCAAATACGTGGATTAATCTTTACTGCAAAGAGCAACTACATGTATACCAGAAGCTAGACAGCTTGCAGGTTCTGAGCTAGTCAATCACGATGATTTCTGGTTCCTTGGTCGCCTTCTCCTTCTCACGCTGCAACTCCACCAAGTCGGCGAACAGCGTGCGGAAGTTCTTGTCCTTGCAGTTGTACTGGAGAGAACCCGCTGCAAACGCTCGTTTCTGCCAGCAACACGATAATTAATACCAACGAAGTTGTCGCCAAAACAAACTCTCAACTTGTATCTTACATCTTCCTCCGTCGTTTGGATACTTCCAGTAGTGATTTTGTCCTCAAGCTGCAGCAGCAACAACAGTGTGACCATGTAAATATCTCCGCACTACTACAATGCCAACGTCACCCACGTACCATGAAGGAGTAGAGCCCCGTGAGGATGGAGCCAACAGCCCAGAGCGGGTTCCACGTCTCCGGGTGGAAGTCCGACATGCTGAGGCAAATACGACGGTTGATCTCGAAGCGGCCGTTGGGCGTGCACATGATCACGGACGGAGGCTTCATGGGGTACTCGGGCGGAAACTTGAGCTTTCCGTGGTAGAATCCCCCCTCGTAGGGCGTGCCCTCCGTCCCGGTGATCACATAGTGCCACTCCAGAATGTTCTTCTCCAGTGGCGCCGCGCGGATGTTCTCTACGGGGTTCCGCTGCAGCGCCAAGTACTCCTTACGCAGCCGTTTAGTCGCCATCGCCGAAGCCATCTTTACACGCGACCCTTCTCAAAAATAATAAAAATAATTGTGAAGTGGTGGGAAATTGGATCCGCCAAAACATCTCATTGGTCAAAACAATAGTATTATAAACTCACACATCCCTACTAGATATTACGTTTAGATCTTAACCTTTTCTGTTAAAATGTTATCGCTACCGCACTATCGATTTAGTAGGGTATTCGTTATACGATATGAATCGCAGGTTTCCTTTTTTGGCGCGCGCGCGGACCACCATTCCGCATTGGGAGACGTCAAGCAAGCGACCATGAGCTCACGGCGCGCGGGTGCGGGCTCTCGCCGCAGCAGCTCGAGCCGCAAGCACGCGCTAGAGGAGATCAAGCGTATGCGTGAGGGTGGGGCAGTAGAAGAAGCTGCCAGTTCCAGTCGTCTGGCGCAGTATAAACCGCAGGAAGAGAGTATCTACAAGGCCGTAACGGAACAGGAGTATGAGGAGCTGGTCCACCAGCGTCGTCAGGGCCTGCCCTTCGTGGAAAACGATGACGGTGAGATGGGCTACTATGACGATGGAGAGGAACAGTTCTTCGAATCCGACCCGGAGGACACGGGAACAGCCCAAGACGACGACGACTCAGTTGGTAAGAAACGCAGCGCTGGCGCTCTGTCCTCGTCATACGTCCGACGAGCCAAGAAGATGCAGCGTGCTAAGCTCGGAGGAGGAGAAGGACAGAAGATCACCAACATGTTCTTCTCCGCGTCCTCCAGTAAAGCTAAGACCAATGGCGCTGCCCCCGGAGGTGTCAAGAGAGCTAGTGCTAAGCAAGATATCGATCTCGATAGCATGTTGGACGATCTTACGAGTAATCCCACGGAGTCTAGGGCTGCCTATGCGAGACCCATGTCGTACTCGACGGGATCGTCGACGTTCTCGAGCAGAACATCGGGATTCAATGCCAGGAAACCGTTCTCGGCTAATACCTCGTCGTTTGTGAGTAAAGATAACACTGCAGAGGAGGAAGATACTGTGGATTATGGTGACAACGCGTACGAACCCGATGAGGACGAGCCGATGCAAGAGGCTTGTGCCGATGAGGAGCGTGAGACTAGTACTGAAGCTGAAGAAGCTCCTAAGCAGGAGGAACCTGCTAAGCCGATTATGAGTAAACGAGAGATGATGCTTCGGAAAGCACGTGAACAGCGTCTGCAGACTTCTGCACCAACTGCGAGAGCTTTGGCTGCTCCTGTGGAGCCGAAGCTACCAGAAGATGTAACGATGAGCTCAGTGCCGTCGAATGAAGTGGCCGAATGGTGGCAAGTTGCCGGCAATGACTCAAACGTCCCGATGGATGCCTCAGCGGACGATGCAGAGCCTGAATCTCTACCTAGCGCTGCAGATTCGATCCAGATGTACTGGATGGATGCAGTGGAAGTCCGCGAACGCCCAGGCAAGATCTACCTGATCGGTAAGATGAAGATCCCGAGCCCTGAAGGCTCCAAGCAGCCGCCCACGTTCAGAAGTTGCTGTGTGGTTGTCAACAACTTGCAGAGATACATGTATCTCGTCCCCAAGGGCACTCCATTGATCGAACTGAGTAAGGCTGAGCAGCAAGAAGCGTGGATGAAGATGCACGAGGAGATCCACAACGTTTTAATCCCGTCCTGCATCACTAACAGACGTGACCAGGAGGTTTTCAGGACCAAACTTGTGGAACGCAACTACGCCTTTGAAGAGGCGAACATTCCACGTGGTAAGAACCTGTTTCTGAAGGTAAAATACCCTGCTAGATACCCAGCTCCACCGTCAGATTTTTGCTCGCGTGGCGGCAAAACGTTCTCTCGCATTTGTGGAGCTTTCACCAGACCGCTGGAGAATTTCCTGCTTACTCGTCGGCTCTTAGGACCGGGATGGGTTGAGATCAAGGGCGTCCGGAAATGCACCGAAGGCGTCAGCTTCTGCAAGATGGAGTTTGAGACTTTTGACCCCAAGAATGTGAGCCCCATTGCCGGCGGTATGTCGCCACCTCCTCTAACAGTGATGAGTCTCAGTCTCAAGAGTGTCTGCAATCCTAACACTGGCAAGCACGAGGTGGTTGCGCTTTCAGCGATCACGGAGACTGGTATTAGTGCAGAGGGCGCTGGCAAGGGAACCAAGGGCGCACGGCACACTCTCTCACACTTCACTGCTATTCGTCCGCTAGACGAGAACAACGGCTTTCCTCAGGCCTACGCTGAAGCAGTTCAGAGAGACGACCGCTTCGGTATGAAGATGGAGAATGGAGTGCTCGGTATCAACAGCGAGCGGCTACGTGTGGAGATCAACGAGCGTGTAATGCTCAGCTACTTCCTCACGCGTGTTCAGCTAGAAGATCCCGACGTTATTGTCGGCCATAATTTGCACAAGTACGCGTTGGAGTTGCTGATCTCTCGTATTGACAACTTCAAGCTCGGTGGTCTGTGGTCCAAGCTGACGCGACTTCGCCGTGGTCGTCTCAATCCTATGAATGTAGGCGAAGGCTGGAATGAGTACAGGATGGACGATATGGTAAACGGCCGACTTTTCTGTGATACGTATGTGTCGTCGAAAGAGTTGCTGCCCTCGCAGAACAACTATACACTCTCGTACTTGGTGGAACGACTTCTGCACAAGCAGCGATTGGATGTCGAGATGACCGAGATTCCTCAAATTCTTCTTGGTGGTCCTGACAATTTCGTCAAGTTCCTTCGTCATACGCTAGACGACGCCATGTTCGTGCTCCATTTGATGCACAAGCTCGAAATCCTGCCCCTATCGAAGCAGCTTGCTAACTTGTGTGGTTACTTGTGGACGCGCACGCTCGAAGCCAACAAGCGTGCTGAACGAATCGAATATCTTTTGCTTCATGAATTTAGCCGCTCGAAGAATAAATTTATCGTGCCGGAGAAGTTCAAAACGAGAACTGAAGCTGACAAGTCAAACAAGAGGCGAGAAGCGTCGTATGCTGGTGGTATGGTGTTTGCACCGAAGAAGGGACTGTACGACAACTTCGTGGTGCTGCTGGATTTCATGAGTTTGTATCCGTCCATCATCCGAGTACGTGTTTTGCCCTGCTAATGCGCTATTATTGTTACTAACCCCGTCATTTCTGTCAAACTGTAGGAATACAATATCTGCTTCACTACTGTCGAGAGACAGCTAAACGAAGACGTGACTGGAGCTCCTTCTTCTTCTAAGAAGAAGAAAAAATCGAAGCCGATGCCCCAGCCTGAGAATGATGAGGTCGTGGACGACGAAGATATGGACCAAAATCTCGATAACGCTGACGCAAGTGCTGACTCGGAGATCCCAGCTCTACCCAGTAGCGCGAGTGAGCCTGGCATTCTGCCAGCTGTGATCAAGCGTTTGCTTGAATCCCGTAAGCAAGTGAAGCAACAGCTGAAGATTGAGCAGAAGGAGGGCAACGTCGAGAAGGCCAACATGCTCGATATTCGTCAGAAGGCCATCAAACTGACAGCAAACTCCATGTACGGTTGTTTGGGTTTCCGATTTTCGCGATTCTACGCCAAGCCCATCGCTGCGTTGATTACATCGACTGGTCGACAGACCCTGCAGCGCGCTAAGGAGGTGGCAGAACAAGAATGTGGCTACGACGTGATTTACGGTGATACGGACTCCATCATGGTCGATTCGCGCACCGAGACCCTCGACGAGGCCAAACGCATTGGTCGTGAGATCCAGGCTCAATGTAACAAGCATTTCAAGCTGCTGGAACTAGAGGTGGACTACATTTTCAAGCGTATTCTGCTGCTGAACAAGAAGAAATATGCTGCGCTGGTGTTGAAGGAACGGCCTAACAGCGAGCCTACGTTTGACAAGGAAGTCAAGGGTCTTGACATGGTGCGTCGTGATTGGTGCGTCATCTCCAAGGCGGTGGGTAATGAGGTTCTCGACTTCATCTTGTCTGGAAACTCGCGTGACGATGTGGTGGAGAGTATTCATGAACATCTGGAGCAAGTGGCGGAACGCATGCGCTCCGGAAAGGAGCCAATTGAACAGTACGTCATCACGAAGAGCTTGAACAAGCAACCTGAGCAATATCCCGATCGGGCGAAGCAATATCATGTCCAAGTAGCAATCGCTTTGCGTGCTTTAGGCAAGCCAGTTGGAGCAGGTACTCACATCCCGTACGTGCTTTGCAAAGAGGAAGAACCTGGAAGCGGTCGTCGTGCTTACCATCCGGACGAAGTGAAGCGTGCTAACGGGAAGCTGAACCTCGACGTCGAGTGGTACCTCGAGTCCCAGATCCATCCGCCAGTTAACCGTTTGTGTGCGCACATTGAAGGAACCTCAAGTCCGCAACTGGCTCACTGCTTGGGTCTGGATACAGCCAAGTTCTCGCACTCTGCCAACCATTTCGAAGAGAACGACGGCGGTGATGCCATTCCCAGTGTTTTACAGACCGATGCAGACCGATTCAAGGACTGTGTTCCGTTGGAGATCACTTGTGACCGATGCAAAATGGCGAGCGCTTTCCCCGGTGTCTTTGGTACCTCCGAGAAGGACAGCTCACTATCTAGTGGACTGCTTTGTCCCGTGTGCAAAGCGGATTTTTGGGGCTTCGACAAGGAGGGAATTTACGGCAACGTGGGTGACGATCTCCAAGCTGTTCTTTCAAACCGTCTTCATATTGCGACGCGACAAGCGACGAAGAAATATTACGAGGCGTGGACAGTTTGCTCGGACGTGACGTGCAAGACGCGGACACAAAAGCAATCGCTCCGTGGAAATGGAAACATCTGCTCGGCCGCTGGTTGCAGAGCAACAACGACTCTCGAGTACCCGGACAGCGCACTGTACACTCAGCTGAAGTATTTTGAGTCTCTCTTCGACGTTGAGCGTGCACAAAAGAAGATCCGAGAGCAGAAGGAACGCGCATCAAGTGCGACTACTGTGACGGAGCCGCCTCCGCTTTCTGAACGTCACCGTGCTGTGCTGCAGAAGTTGCTGTCACAAGCTGAAGAGGTACATCTGCCTTATTGTCTCGTTCTAATGACTTTGCACCGCTCTGACTAACGATTTACTGCCTCGTTCTACAGGCTGTCCATCGTAACGACTATAACTGGGTCAAGCCCTCCATCTGGCAGACACTGTTTACATAAGGACAGGTATCCGTTCGCCGACAGCGGTCAACCGAAGGTGTTATGCTATAGTAATGCATAGATGATGTTTCAACTCGTATTAAACCCACCACTTTGCTCGAATGCTTGTGCTGTTTTGAAGGCATCTGGATCTTGGTTCAACGCCACTGAGACGAGGCTCAGTGGAAAGATGAGTTGCCAATCTGATTGGTACGACTTCAACTAACGTTAGTCGACCCTAGGATGTTCATTTTCTGTATTTGACTTGATGGAGATTGACCACGTAGTCAAGAGCCATCAATGAGTTCATTCTCCTTTTGCGCTGCGGTGACGACAAAGCTACGACACGATGTCGGATTTCACTGACGACGAAGATCGGCAGCTTGTCCAGTTGGCGCTCGAGTTCTCACGCAACAACCAAAATATTCTGTGGGATAAACTGACACAGCTGATGAAAGGTACCAAGAAGAGCAAAAATGCGCTTCGTCAGCGTCTCAAGACGCTGAAGCGCACACACGGCAGCGACCTCGAGAAATTCCGACCATGGTACTTCAAAAAGAAATTCGCCACCCAAATCAACCTCCAGCGACTGCAAACTTCACGTCGCACAAATACCAAGCTCAAAACCCCCAGAAACAAGCAAGTGAAGAAACGCCGACGAAGACGAACAACCCGCGAGCTGGGTGCTACCTGCTCCCCCACCAAAACTACGAAACTCGAGAGATCGCCAACACTGACATTGTCGCCACGTTGCTTGAAATGCACGTCCACGATGAAGACCGAGCCACTCACTTCGCTGGTGTTGCTTGCGTCCGTTGCGAGCACTTCGCAAGGTGTGATGGATGAACGCAGTGCTCGAGTGTGAGCAGGAAACCTGTAATTGTATTTTCTTGTTTTTTATGTTGTGTTGTTATCAGATTAATTCAGGTTCTGCGATGCATCTTGGTCCGTTATCAAGCTATATTTACTCAACAAACGCCTCAAGTACTAACCGAGCAAAGGTTATCAGCCTTTCACTTATTCTTCTCGCTGTCATCATGAAGACTGCTGACGCTGGTGATGAAGAGGAATCCACGATCGACTCGACGTCATGGCCTATCAACCGACTCAGCTACATCGAGTTAAGCTTACAAGACACTGCAGCAATCGAGAAACTTTTCACAGGTCGCAGTGACACTCCATTGCTGATGAAGTGGGTGATGTTACACAAGTCTGGATCCAAGTTCCGTCCAAGACTATTGGTGATCTCGGCATTGCGTTTGTGGGTTTTGAAGCACAAGAAAACGTTTAGCAAAGCGCTTTCTCTCCGTCGAGAGTTTCAACTGATGCACGTGCAGAAGCTCACTGCACTTCGACCAGACCCTGCTTCATCGACACCGGACAACTCTTCTACGATCTCCATTCGACTAGTTATTCTACCAAAGCAGGGGGCTGGAAGCGAAGCCTCCGTGATGCTACATTTTGACCCAGGGGTACACACCGAGAACGTCGTACGACTTCTGCAACGATTACTGTACGCACTTCGACTTACCTTTCCGCAACAGAAAATGCCACCAGTGACGCTCCCGCCTGACTGTCACTGGCACGAGTTTTTCCCGGACGAAAGTGATGTTACACAATCACAAGACCAAAATCAGAACGAAGAGAAGACTGCAGACTCCACCAGCCAAAACTCGACTTTTGCTGCTATGGCGTCGGCTTATCATGCTTTTTGCGACGATCTGGGCGTTCGCTTTCGCGATAGTGTACCAGTTCGTATCGAAGAATGTGCTACCACGACTGGATGCATGGATTTCCAGTATTGTCTCGGCTTCCCGCCTGGCGTTGACGGCTACCACCAGGACCTCTCAGCGACTCCATTTCACTCTTTTGCTCGCTCTATTGTGGACGCATGCTTTCCGTCTTCCTCCCGTTCAGTGACTAATTTCCAGTCCAAAGAGATTCAAGCTCTTGCACGGACGCTTGAACGCTCGAGTTACTTTACCGATATCATCATAAGTGACCTAGCAATGGGTCAAGCAAGCTTGACTACGCTGTTCCAGGCTCTGCTCTCGCCACAATGTACAATCGAAGGCTTCACTCTGACCAACGTACAGCTATCAGTTCGAGCGTTGCGTATCCTCCAACAAGTTGTGCTTCAATCCACGATGCGACAGAATGGAAACGAGATGAAGATGAAGCTCCGGCGTCTAGATTTCTCCTTCAACCGGTTTACAGTTACGATGGCGGCTGAACTAGCCACAATTCTGCAATTACTACCGAATGCTCTGGAGCTTCTGCAGCTTGAAAGGTGCGGCTTAACAACTATATCCTGTTGTCGAGTACTCGAAGCATTGACGACTAGCACAGCGTTTTCGGCTTCGTTATTAGAGCTGAACGTCGCGGGGAACCATCTCGGTCTGGAAGGCACGAAAACTCTGGCTACCTGGATCACGGGGACGTTTGCTCTCCAACGACTCGATGTTTCTCGAACTCAGCTCGACATTAATATCTTCGTTCAAGCTCTTAAACAGAACACTTTACTCCATGAGTCATCGCTTCTACAGCTTGATCTGTCGTACAACCAGATGCGAACACAAGCAAGTGAAGATCTCGGCGTCATTTTGGGTAAATCTCAAAGTCTTGCTACGATATTCCTGCGTGGCATGAAGCGCTATCGTCATTTCCACAAATTCTTACCTCCACAGCTACAAAAGGAAGGCACGCTTCTAGCTCTCTCTGAAGCTGCTGTGGTGGCACATACAGCAGCTGCACGAAGGAACGGAGGCACAGTGCATCGTGCCGATGGTCTTCGTAAACATTTTTTGCGTAACATTTTAGCACCAATGTTCGCGAATACTGATCGAAGTTGGGCTTGTATGGTGGATCTAAGTGATAACGACTTGAGTGGCCATCGAGCTGAAGTGTTGGCTCAACTTCTGGATGAATCACCATGGGCTACTCGAACATCATTACGGCTAGATCACACGTGTCTTCACGATAAATCGGTGCGTTTTTAAGCGGGATGGTTGGCATTTACACCACTTCTTACTGACTCTTGTTTGTATCTTCAGGCTCTGTTGCTGCTCCACTCGATTCGAGGGTGTAAGACTCTGGACTCGTTGAGTCTGGAAGGAAATGGCTTTGTCAAACGTGAAGCACATCGGAAATGCCAACGGCAGAATGAAAAGTGCTATAGTGACGGCGTGGCGCCGTCGGAACCGAGTGTGATTGAACAGGCAGGTGCGAATGCCTTAGCTCTGTTACTCGGGGGTGCGTTGGACTGCAACGACAACCAGATACAGAGTTGGTTGGGAGCGAATGACGCTGGAGTTGTGACTGCATCTTTCTTCGCGCACTCATCGGCCGCGAAGCCTCTGCGTCTGAAGGAATTGTGTTTGAAATGTGATGGTTCTTATGTTTTCGGTACACACATTATAACGGCAGCAGTCCAAGCATTAGCCAAGCCACACGCATACCTACAGATGCTTGACGTTACTGGCAACGAATGTGGAGACGCATTGGCTCAGGTTCTCGGTGCCGTATTGCCTAAGAACAAGAGTCTGCAGGCCTTGTTCTGGGACGGGAACTGCATCACAGTCGATGGGTTTCTCCAATTCTACGACGGTCTCTTGAAAAACCATACGTTGGTCATGGTACAAATGCCGATCCAAGATACCCGACGGGTACGTGAGAGATTTGATGTTAGGCTGTTTGGTGCTTATCGTACTTTCCCGCTTTGTAGATTTTGGAGGAGCAGAAAGACCCACCACGCGAGAAGCTTTTCAGTATCTTGGGGAAAATCTTCAAAGCCACAGAACGAAACCAAATTTTGGCAAGGGAAACCAAGGAGCGGAAAGCTGAAGAACGTAGTTCTCGAGCACAGACAGGTGATGAACAAGACGTAAATGTTCACCCGAAACCAGACCAGAAACCGGAGATCGATAAGCCAACGGCAAAGGAGGAGGATCCCGCCGATGTTGATATTAGCCTCGACCTCCAGTCAGCAGGATTAGCGCTGGAGAGGTGCCATACTCCCAAGCTGGCCAAATTTGAGGAAGCAAAAGAAGAAGACGACCGAGATCACTCCGCTCGCAAGAGCTATTCCAGACCGACAAGCGCTCGATATCCTTCAACAATGCAGTCTTGGAGCATGCAAAGCAGCACCGACGATTTCCGTACGCAGCTCAGTAAGCTGGACTCGTTGACTGCTTCGCTCTCGAGGGCGTCGACACACGTGTAAAATCCAAATTCACAAAACTCACGTCGTAATAAAAAGCTCAGCAATCTGCGTAAGTTTTTTTTTTACTTACGCGAATGGAGACCCTGTAGAAACGAATTGAGGCTGCTTTTGACAGCAACCACGGCAGCATCTGGCTGTGGCTTTTTCTTCTTTTTCTTCCGCTTCGGTCCGTCCAGAAGCTTCCGCGGCGGACTCGAAGGCGGCGCAAAAGCACTCGCAGGCGCTATCTTCAGTTCAATCGGAGCAGCAGCAGCGGGGGAAGTCTTTGCCTCCTCGGTCTTTGCTCGTTCACCACTGTCCACCTTCAACTTCTTCGTCTCTACAGCTGTAGCACTCTCCGTCTCCTGCTCTTCTCGTGAACGTTTCTTGGTCTTCGCTTTATGAATTGTCGACGCACCAGGTCGATCATTAGCATGTTGGCATCGATGGCACGACACCCTCTGCACAATAATAATTATTGTCAAAATATGTATGACTCACACTCACACACTATTCGTCAACTCACCACAACGGTCGACAAAGTCTCACGGACAAGACGTGGGCCATTACTGCCGTTCTGTTGCTGGGCGCGGCGCTGCTGTCTAGCCAGTCGACGATTGGCCGGAGACTTGCGGGTTTGTGGCACCACACGCACGTCCGCCGACACGCTGGGCACCAAGAGACCTCCACAGTTCTCGCAAATGAAGTCCAGCACTGATTGGGGCAGGTGTGCTCGGCTCGATCGAGCTAACTGCATCATGGAAGCGCTACCAAAATGCTATTAGGTCAATTATTTAGCTAGTACACGTTTTCGGGCAACGTACATCATGTGGTTGGCCAGAGCGGGACTGGTGGGAAGCAGCGCATGTGCCGAGCTCCAGAGGAAGGTAAAGCGCTTCTCTAGCTGCCGAGAGTTCTCAGCGCTGACGACCTTCATCTCTGGAAGGAGCAGGGAGCCTAACGTGACGCTCGGCGACATCGTGGCCATTGCAAACGTAGTTTTGTGCCTAGACAATCAATACCAGTAATAAAGAAAATAGATTTTCAATTTGTAATTTTAAAAAAATAAAATGTAAAAATAAAATCCTAATTTCTTTGTCAGAAAAATGTTAGCTTTCTTAAAAAAAAAAATTCTACCCGTCCATAAATTCATTTAGATTGAATGCATTGGATGGCAGTTTGGAGTTTTCTACTTAAAGTCAACCCCAACGAAAAAAGGCGTGTATAGGACAAAATATCACTGAAAAAAGTTTGTTAGGAGTTGTGTTTTACAAAGCCGTGCTTTCGTCCTGGGTTTTAGTTTTAAAATGGTTTAAAGAATCATTTCAGCTGAAGGGAAAATGACAGTAAATTGTTCCGTAACTTGCCGGGCGACATAATATGTATACGGGTCATATCTGGAGACGAAACCTAAAACGAAGTCCGACGAGTGCGTCGGAGTTGACATCGCTTCCAGCCATGAACTGGATGCGCTTCGCGAAGGGCCTGTTCGATGGACGCATCGAACAGATATGCATCCTTTCAGA